ACCTGTTCTATTCTGGACCTGTAATCCCTACTGCAAAGCCACTCACAAGTCCAGTTTTCATCATTTCTGATTTTACAGACATGTATTCTTAAGGGGGAGGAATCTATAGAACTGAAAACCATGTGAATACCCTAGTCATGAGGTGGCTGATTTTGTCTGTCCAGGTAAGATGGTGCAGGTAGGGGGTGTGGTGGTCCAAGTGGCACACGCAGGAAGTCACAGGATGTGGGAGGCATTGTTCTGTGTGCCCTGTGCACAGAGTGTGTGATGCCCTTTGATGGGTTTGCAGCCTCATCTGGTGGACTTCTGGCACAGCCCTTCTGTAAGCTCTTTAAGACGGCGTTTCCCTTCGGCCAGATTGCACTCTGTGCACAGTGCAGTTGCTTCTCCCTGTGGAGTGAGATGGGCCCACATTGTCTGTGGCTCCACCTGGCCTTGGTGCTTATTGCTCTCTGCTCTGCTGCTCCCCTCATGTAACGAGGGTGTGTTAAGAGTCTGTAAGTGTGTTGTGTTAGATATTTAGGAAGGAAATGTTAATCCTAAAAATAGGTTTCCCATCTTTTAACTTATATAAAATTGACTGGACTTTTTCTTCTGGATTATCTTTTTGTAATTAGAGACTAATAATACACTGATATGAAGTAGCTTTGTATCAGGAAAATGGATAAATGTAAACATTCGCCTACCAGGAGAAAATAATACGACCTGATTGAAAAAATGTATGGATAAAAAGCTAGGTTTAGTAGGTAGCCATTGATGAACAGAGTAACTTAAGACAACCATTGGGGATTGTTAGAGCAGAGATTGTAGCTCCCTTCTGAGGAGGAGCTGACCAAAATGTAGTCCAACTCCTGCTTGACAGAAGAGGTACAGCCAAACCGATCCAAAGGAAATGTCAGAGGAGGCCAGGTGGGGATTATCAACAACTGTGTTTGAGGGTTTGTTCCACTTTGTTTTGGTTTTGGTGAAATTATCACATTTTGCATGTTATATTACCTTGGCACCTGGAATCATGGCATTTATGCTGAGATTTTTTCTCCCTGATGTCTCTTCTGTTTGATAGCATGTATGTACCTTTCATAATCAATATCAAACTGAAGTAACTTAAAAAGATAGATAATTGTATTCATTTTCTAGGGTTCCATAACCACAAACTCAGTGGCTTAAAACCACAGAAATGTCTGTCCTCACAGTTCTGGAGGCCACAAATCCAAAATCAAGGGCTTGGCAGGGTTGCTTCCTAATGGCAACTCAGGAAAGTTGAGTTTATGAGTATGTATTATTTTTTACTACATGTAGTATAGTACTTTAATAATTATTAAAACTTAAATCATTCACAAATATCATTTTTCTTACTGGTAATAAAAGTTTTCTGACATATCTTACAGCAATATAGTTAAGAACTGATGCCCTTGATTAGCAGTTTTAAAAACCAGAGGCTTACCTTAGCCTGTCTTACTTTCCTAGACTTGTGTGGAAATGATTTGAGGATAATGGCCCATAACGGCACATTCCTGTAAAGCCTGTGCTTAGAACCCTAGAGTGGTCTGGGAGATGAAGATTAAGACCTTGTTGTCCATCTCTTAAGGAAAATACCATCAGAGGAAAATGCAAATCTTGTTATAGGTCATCACGAGAATGAGGATTATAATGTATAGAAATTGGGGCTTAATTATGGGAAATAGTTCTGTTCTTGGCTCTAGTTTACTTCTGTTTGGAGTTGTTTTGTTGATTCTTCTCTATTCTCTTCTCTTCCTTTTCTTGAGTGGAAAGGAACTTGGGAAAGTCATGCGCTGGCCTTGCGTTGTCAGAGGAAACTTGGAATGTCATTGCCTTTTGGGCACATTTGCAAGCAAGGGGGTGACATATGCTGTGGTGCGGCCTGGGTGTGGGGAGTTGAGGGCTGTTAGCTCCATCATTCAGACATGTTTTAAGTTTATGGAAACTCTGTGTTTCTTACAAGTGCGTTTGTGCCCTGTATTTTCAGCTTGTGTTGTATGAGGTTCTATTCTTTGTTTTTAACACTTCCCGCCCCCACCCCATCCCTCCGACATGCACCTCAGACAGCATGAACAAGACAAGCTGCTACTTCCTCTCCTCTCTTACACACTGTCTCTTTATCTTTAATTACAACAAAATACACATAGCATAAAATTGCCATCCTAACCATTTTTAAATGTACAAGTTCAGTGCTGTTAAGTACATTCACATTATTGTGCAACCATTACTACCATCCATCTCTGGAACTTTTTCATCTTCCCAAACTGAAACTCTGTCCCCATTAAGTGCTAAGTTTTCATTCTCCAGCACCCCCAGACCAAGTAACTGGCTTTCTACTTTCTGTCTGTATGATTTGACTTTTCTGAGTACCTCATATAAGTCACATCAGACACTGTCCTTTTGCGACTGTCTTATCTCACTCAGCATAACGTCCTCAAGTTTCAGCCCTGTTGTAGCATGTGTCAACATTTCCGACTGAATAATATTCCATGTTGTGTGTAGTGTACACCACAGTTTGTTTATTCGGCCACTGATGGACATGTGGGTTGTTTCCATGTTTAACTGTTGCAAGTAATACTGCTGTGAACGTGGGTATACAGGTATCTTTCATTCTCCCCTGGGTGTACAGGTATCTTTCATTCTCCGCTTTCAGTTCTTTTGAAAATATACCCAGAAGTGAAATTGCTGGATCATATGGTAATTGTATGTTTAGTTTTTTGAAGAACCTCCATACTGTTTCCTATAGCAGCTATACCATCCTCCATTTCCACCAACACTGCACGAGGGATCCAGTTTCCCCACATCCCTGTCAACACTTGTTACTTTCTTTCTTTCTTTTAATTTGCCAGTAGCCTCATAATGAGTGTGAGGCAGCATCTCATTGTAGTGTTAATTTGCATTTACCTAACAATTTGTGATATGGAGCATCTTTCCATGGGCTTGTTGGCTGTTCTATCTCTTCTTTGGAGAAATGTCTGTTGAAGGTGTTTGACATTTTTTAATCAAATTGTTGGGCAGTTTCCCTTGTTTTTAAGTCAGAGTAGGTGATGTTTGTCTTGCTCATGAAACAAAAGTTATAAAAAAAGAACATGTTTGCTATGAAATGTAGTTGATACATGCAGAATGGAAAGATTTATAAATTAAATACTCCTTTATTAACATTTTAATGTGTTGAATTTAAATTTCAGAAGCATTCATCTTTCTTCTCTACTTGTACATTTTTGTTTACCTGACAGTGTAAAATCCACAACCCCAAAATAATGGCTTTTTCCCCGTTTAAAATACTTTGTAAAAATAGTAGTCTAGTTACTGGTTTCTCTAAAGTAGCCATTTTCCCTTGGTTGTCATTTGTGAGCCCAGGCTTAGTCCTCAAGTCTGACATAGACTCCCCAAGGCCCTAACACTGAAGTTCTCTGAGCCCTACCACTGCCCACGTGGGCCCAAGAAGTGTCCCAGCAGTGCCCAAGAAGGTCACCTCCACCTGTGGAATCCACAGTGTGGGTAGCCCCCAGGGAGCCACAGCCATCTAGGCCCAGATTCACAGGAGGACGCGGTTACTGCAAGTATCTGAACCTGGCCCCACCACCTATGGGTAGAATTGATTCCAGCTCAGTGGTCCATGGGTTGTCTTTAGGTTCACCTTGCTTTTTTGTCCCACACTCACGTGTTGGAGCTCAGCTGCATGGAGTGCCCTTCTCCCTGTACCTGTGAGATTAGTCAGCAGTCCTCTCTCCTTCCGTATTCTGTCTTTATTTCTGCGACACTATTTCTGGAGAACATTGTATCTGTGCTTTTCCTTTGATATGTTTGTAATTTTCATTAGAAAAGCCCTTTTAGATTCTAAAGCTTCTACATTCAGTATTTCAATCAATGATAACAAACTGGTATAAGACTAAATATGAAATACAAACATCAACACATTTCTATAAATTGGTGTTATAATGTCTTCCACAAAAAGTTCAGTTGTTTGTATGTTTTTCAAATGCGCTTTGCTTGTCTTGATGATTTACAACTGTTGGCACTGCTGTTTAAGTCTGTTCTGACAGTGAGAAATTGACTCATTTGGCAAAGTCAGCTGTTTTTACTAAAAGTGAATACTGGTGAGTAGAAAGGGGCTTGTATACAATTTTCTTGTCAAAGAACAATGAGCGGGAAATAAACAATTTTAGTTCCTTGGATTTGAACATCACTCTCGCATGCCTCCACCAACCAGCTTGTCTCCACAGAGCTTCCTTCCTCACTTCAGACTGAAAATCTGTTATCAGTGTGTGGAAAATAAAACTTTTACACATCTTTAGTTTTGAGGATATGGATTATTACTATTTATAGGTTTTTGGTTTTTTTTCACTATAAGGAGGAAATTTTTTTAAAAAGTAAAAGGTGTTCACATTGTCTAGTTATTGCCTTATGATTTGATTTTCTTGTTTCACGAAGAAAAACTTTTAATTAAATGTGTTTAAATAGTAAAAATATACATGTCACTTCTCCTGGTTCCACTTAAATGTATTAACATGTATTTGGTTGGTGCTTAATAAAAAATGTTCAGCGAATAATTAACTTCAGTTAAACCCTTAAAAATATAGGGAGTAAACAGAAATATTGAGTGGTTACTCAGCATGGGTTAAGGGATACAGCAAATCATTGGTCAGTATCGGGTATCATCATATTCTTACCATCTTTTTTTCTGGAGTTTTAGTAGTTGTTTTTAAAAAATATCTATGTTTTAATAAAGCATTTTGATGTTTGAAACTACCTTGGATAAGCATATCAAGACCCTTGAGAGATTCTAAAACATGTTCAGCACTTTCCGGTGTAATATTCTCAAAGAACCAGGACACATCTCATTTCTCAAAATGAAAAAAAAAAAAGTATTAGACATTACCCTTGTAATTTCAAGCCCACAATCTGTCACTTTGAAGTGTTTGTATCGTTTTACAAAAGAAAAGCCAAATGAAGATATCCCTGAAAAAATATTTTAATAGAATATATCTTTATTTCAGTATCTTAAATAGTGAAGATGGAGAAATATTCAATAATGAAGAGCATGAATATGCATCCAAAAAAAGGAAAAAGGACCATTTTAGAAATGACACAAATACTCAAAGTAAGATTATTCTCATTAATTTTATTTTGTCGATTATGTTGAAATACTAAATTACTCTGACAATGCTATCTTATGAAATAAAAGGTGATACAAATATGTAAATAACAGCCCAGTATCCAGCATCACCCACTTATTTAGTGGTCAGACTTTTTGCAGCTCAATCATTTCAGTGGGTAAGATGTGCAAAAACAAAATAAGAGATGGCACAACCCACAAAACAGCCATGCATATGATCTTGAATTCAACTCATTCTTGAGCAGTGAGGCCAAACTGAGGGGTGTCCTGACTTGAGTTTCGAAGTGACTGAAGATTCAGAGCAGGAGACAGACATTCAGAGCTGTAGTTTAGGATGTTAGATGGCAGCAGGGGAAGGCTGGAGGTGGGCCCTGTCTGTGAGAGGGCGTAGGGCTCTGTCATGGCACTGCCTTGCAGTATATCCGTGAGTTACCAAGACACATGTTCGTCTATAGTAGGCTCCCTTACCTCAGTGGATAGACCTCCAGTGGGTGCCTGAAACTGTGGATAGTACCGAACCTTATGGATACTATGGGTTTTTTTCTGTATATACACACTTGTAATAAAGTTTAATTTATAAATTAGGCACAGCAAGAGATTAACAACAATAATAAAATGAAACAGTTATAGCAAGATGGCCGCCATCGCTCCTCTTGCACTTTGGGGCCATTATGAAGTATGATAAGGGTTCTCTAAACACAGGCACTGCGATACCTCCACAGTTGATCCGATAACCAAGACGGCTACTGAGTGATCAAGGGGCAGGTAGTGTAGGACTTGCTTGACAAAGGGAGGATTCCCATCCCAGGCAGGACAAAGCAGGACAGTGTGAGATTTCATGACACCACCCAGAACGGCACAGAATTTAAAACTTAGGAACGGTTTATTTCTGGAATTTTCCATTTAATGTTTTCAAGCCAAAACTGACTGTGGGTAATTGAAACTGTAGAAGGTGAAACTGTGAATATGGGGGAGACTACTTTATGAAGAAGACAGGGTCACATGGAGAATACAGTTAGTGTGATTCTTGAAACTTTTAAGAATTATCTGAAAAATGTGTTTCTGTGGAGTACCATACAGAGCAATAGAAGAATAGAACTTTTTATTAGGGTACATAGGAATTTAGTAATGTAATTACATTTTATAATCATTTATGTCTTCATATGGCTTCAGTCATTAATAATACTAATTTTCTTCTAAGTTACTAGGACTTGGTACTGTCTGAAATCATTGTTCATATCTTAAACTGATTTAAGAAACAAGGCAATTCTGTTTGCATTGAACCAAGTAAAAGCATTTCTTGTGAATATAGTAAGTCAGATAATTTTGTTAACATGTCCAATTATTTAAATTCCTTTAAAATCTTCATTTTTGAAATGATTTGCCAGATTTAAAAAACAAAGTTAATTTTTATTCTAGGTTTTTATCGTGAAAAATGGATCTATGTCCATAAAGAAAGCACAAAAGAAGTAAGTATTCTATTATAAATAAGAGAGTATCTTGGATTGTTTCTGTTCAATATGGAGTCACATTAAATACATTTATTAATAAAGTTGCATAAAACACATTTCTTTTGCAATATCAGATCTATGGTTCAAATTCTGACAGATAATAGCATATGAGGAGCTTTTGAGGTAGTGATTCTCCATTGTGTGTGCTTGCATGTGCGTGTGGTATGTGACTGTATTTGTGCATACATTGGTGTGTGTTGTATATATGGTGTGTATGTATGGTTGTGCTTGTATTTGCACACATTGGTGTGTGGGATGTATGGTGTGTGTTGGCATGTGGTATATGTGTGCCGTGTGTGGTTCCTGCCTACCTGTACATATCTGAGTCAGCAGCAGGTCTATTTAAACCAAGCATGGACTCCTGCAGTCATACGCATTTTCTCTGTGTTAGCATGAACCTCTGATGCTGATGGGCGTGTGTGTGTCCTCCCTGTGGCGTGTTTTGGAGCATAGGACATCTGTGAGCCCCCTCATTCCACGTAAAGAGTGGCTAACATGAAATTAGTAATTGGGTTGGGTTTGCACAGAGCCGTGTGAACTCTTTCCCTGCCTTTCTTTTCCCAAGTTAGGCTAAAGCTTTTTCATGAGCCATAAGACAAACCAGAGAGCTTCAAGCTGTCTCCTGTTTCTTTACTAGGATCAGGGAAGTTGAGTTCCTTTTATGGTCCTAGAAACTCTGCATGTGCTTTATTTTGCAACAATTGGGGAAAATAATTTAGGGAACTATTGTCTATCATCTGTTTTTTTAGGGTAAGTTAAATATTCCAGAAATGTTTGTAGATGCTCTGAAGCTAGTCCAGCTTCCTAGAAACTGAAGGATTAGATTCTGAGAAAGAAAACTTAATCTATTCGGTTATGGTTAGTGGGTATAGAATGAATCAGATCCTTAATATACACTCTAATATACCATTAGAAGATTGTTTGACAGAATCTAACCTAGTTTTTAAAAAAACGAAATTTAGTGCTCATGAAAGACCATTAAATATTTCATCTGCTCTGTTGCCATCCTGATTACAGAGCAGAGGACCCCATCCAAGCTAGCATGTGCAGGAAAAGAGGACCTTATTGTGAGGCTGTGGGAATGTTCCCTGGAATCCTAGGAACCAGGATCCTAGAACCAGGCTGAGAGGGACCAGAACTAGGACTGGGCGCTGGTGTCCCTGCACCACATCATGTCTCCACACCGTCACCTGGTATAGAGCAAGTGCCTGCTGCTCATCCATGCTAGCTGGTGCCTCACCGCTCTGAGGTTACATGCTGTGGTTCTAGGTCCAGACATGCTCTTTGTGGTCTGCTCTGTGAATCAGATTTAATTTTCAGTTGTGAGATGGGTGGTGACCTTGGAAAGTGCCTGCTGCACCATCATGTAGAATTAAGAGAGAGAAATAAAATAGGAATATCAACTGTGAGGGATTTCAGATAATTATCTATATCAAAATTAGCATTTCCTTTCCCCCAGAGTTCCCAGGAAAATGTTTTCTGCATAGCAGGCACTCAGTCAACATATTTGGGTGTTTTAAATGAATTTCGTTGAGTTGTGCACACAGTAGGGCGATTGGGGTTGACGCACAGAAGCACATGAGCCTCTGAGTATATCAGCTATCAGAGACAAAGGTGCTGTGACTCCAGCTGCTTTCTCTAGGACATCTCGAGTCACCTGTTTGGAATTTGAGATCGATCATCTCATGTTTTTTATTATTGTTCTCCAGCTTATTTATCTCTACAACTTTGAAATGAAAATCTGTAGATTTTAAATATTTCAAATATGGAGGATGGAAATGGAGTTTAAAATGACTTCTGAAACCTAATGTGCTAATCTACACAAACCAGTATAGGATAAGCGTGTATCATGGCAGAAAAACATCTAAGAGAATAGCAGCAGTGTTTACAGTACTGAAAATAAATTGTTTCATTTTCTTCCTTTGGTTCTTGGACCTGTGGGTCTAATCACCAGTTTTTTTGGTGTTTTGGGTTCTTGGCATCCGTGCTCCCAGCCTGAAAGCTGCCCATGGTCACAACCAGCACTTGCCTTCAGCCCTCTCCATCCCAGTGCTGGTTTTCAGAGGCACCTTCTTGCTGCCGAAGCGCCTCTCCCAGCTGTGATCCTTGTGGGAGCATACTTCCAACCTGGGCAGTGCATGCCTCCCCCGCAGAGAAATCCTGTGTTTTAACTGTATATTTATAACACCTACATCCTTACAATGCAGCTAAGCACATGATTTATGTATTTTTAGTTGCGTAGCCTAGAATAATCCAGTTTTTTAATGATCTTAGCCTTAACGTCATCCACACCCCAGTTGTCCCCAGCAAAATAAACCAGCAAGATTTTTTAAAAAATTTTCTATTATACTTTAAGTTCTAGGTTACATGTGCACAACGTGCAGGTTTGTTACATATGTATACATGTGCCATGTTGGTGTGCTGCATCCATCAACTCGTCATTTACATTGGGTATATCTCCTAATGCTATCCCTGCCCCCTCCCCCCACCCCACGACAGGCCCCAGTGTGTGATGTTCCTCTTCCTGTGTCCAAGTGTTCTCATTGTTCAATTCCCACCTATGAGTGAGAACATGCGGTGTTTGGTTTTCTGTTCTGCAAACCAGCAAGATATTTAATATACATTTTTCTTTGTCATTACTTCAGCAGGTGGTAAAAAATGTCAGTTAACGGTGTCTCAGTTATACATAAACAGCTTAAATTATTAGCATTGCTGTAATTTTACTATTCTCTCATCTAAATCTAAAATCAATCTTCAGGATAAAAACAAATGTCCTTTGCCAAAATGTTTTTTTAATTGCACAATTAATTGACATTAACTGCCAGTTCTTTTTGGCTGATTGACTAATTTTAACTTCTGTGTTGCTCTTCCAGAGGCATGGCTATTGCACCTTGGGAGAGGCCTTTAATCGGTTAGACTTCTCAAGTGCAATTCAGGATATCCGAAGGTTTAATTATGTGGTCAAAGTAAGTGTTCTACATGAAAAACTACTTTGATGACTCTTTTGAACAATTATATTTTGAAGATTGTAAGTGTACAACGTTTAAGATGCTTTTGGCAGCTTGAAGGTGTGCCTGTTTGCTGCATATAATCGAAAAACAGAAGGGAACAAGTTCAGGAGAAAACAGTGAGATTGGAGGATTTCTCCAGTGTTGGTGGCAGAGGTTGCAGAGCCTCAGTGGGAGCAAACAGTCATCTCCCTGTGACTCTGTGGTTGCTGAGGATGCCACAAAGTGGTCCCCTGGGGGTTGCACCATGCATCTACGTACCGTGTCAGTGATAGAACGGTCATGGGATCTTTACCTGATGATTTCGCAAATGTTTTCTGCTTCACGTTCTTCACAAAGAATGAGCCTTACGTCACAGAGGAAGAAGTAGCTAATAGAAAACAGGAATTTCATACAAAATAGAATTCCACAAAAGCCTTATTGCATTAATGATATCCTTTTGGAAGAAACTTTTATCTTGGGCCACACTCAAAAAGAAAGGATCATAGCCATATATTCCATTTATTGTTTGCTTTTGTCTAAAGATTAATTACTATGTGATTTATGCACCTTCATTCTATGGATAAAATAGAAGCTATAGTTTATGAAGCTATTAATTTTGTGTTTCTCATGGTTCTGTGAGACATTGGAAAATGTTTCCTTTAATTGCTTTTAGACATTTAAAAGTGCTACTGGGAGGACAGAAAATTTAGGGAATTAAATAACTGTAAGTCTTAGATAATTTTATTTGTTATGTTTGGTTCTGAGCAGAATTTCCAGGGCTTCTTATGTAACTACTACTTACAACTCCTGTTGTGCTCCATTCTTCACTGAAGCCCAGCCAACACATGCAGGCTGGACTTCCCCGGTGTTTTCTGAGTCCTCCTGTAGATATTTACACGCTGGCCAGCAGGGTGTTCTCGATAGGTACCTTTCTTGTAGATGATGAAATGCACATTTGACTCAGCTTTGTGGAAATTTGCAAGACTTAAGTAGGCAGGAAAAACATCAGCAGAGAGGTCTGTTTAGCAGTAACTATTTCTCCATGTAGCTCTCTGATAGTTCAGACCATACTGAGTTGCTTTATAGTAGCAATTCTCGACCATCTGTCTACATAAAAGGATTTAATTCTTGGTGTGAGTGAGAGAGTAGGATGGGGCACAGGAGGAAGTCATTGGCTCCTGGTGATTTCTGTGCTGGGTGCCCTGCTCTGTCATCTTTGGTCACTGACTCTGGAGAAGGTGCGAGTGTTCTGTGCTTTATCAGAGGGGGAGTCCGTAGACCAGGGCCAGTATTTTATCAGTTTCAGTCATTTGAATGACTGCATGATTTTTTTTTTTTGTCTGTATACCACATACTACTATAATTTGCTGAGTAGCTTTTCTTCAAATTTACTTTTTTAAACAGAAATACCTACTTTAGCCTCATCCTAAACACTAATACCTGTGAAATGGTAAATTTTCTGTCGGTCGTTTGTTGTCTAATACATATAAAATAAATGCATAACTATAAAAATTAAAATGTGCTATGCACTCATGTACCAACTAAACTTACCTTGCAACCGTCTTGAGAAGGGCTGTGTTTCTCCAAACCACCTCTCGGAGGTGGAGCAAGGGAACGGGTGAGCCTAGGAAGCAAAAGGGCTGCATTGTTGCATGACTGTCCCAGCAGCCTCACAGGTCTGTGCATCTCTGTTGATTGCTGCCTTCGAAGCAGAGCCTTGCTTGGCTCATCTGTGTTCCTGCTCTGTGAGAATCCCACCTTCCCTCTCCTGCAGTCGCTCCAGACCTTTCACAAGTCCAGCAAAGTTACCTCTAAAAGGTGATTTGCTCATGCTTACCTTCTGCTAAAAACAAAAACAAGCAGCAGCCTTTGTGACTGTGGGAAAGCCTGAGCCTGTGTCTTGCCGTGGATTGAGCTACTGCATGTCCCCATCCTAATTCTGCCCTCCCTGGCCCATGCCAGTACCCTCTTCCGTTGGCTTTCTTTCAGTGTGTACTATTTTTTGTTTTCACTTTATCAAGTGCATTTACCATGCATGCTGTGCAGGTATTTGGTATTTGTTTGCTGTTTTAAATGTTTATAGCAACACTTACTGCAACAACTGAGAGGATTCTCTTGGAGTTCTTCTAAATAATATGATTTTCCATAATTTAGGCTAAGTTGTCCATAATGTCACTCAGTATTATTAGAATACCTATGAACTAGAAACGTAGAAGCATTTTTTTGAAATGCTTGATAAAAGGTTTCCTTTTTTTCTAATGGCATTTAGTAACATCTGCCCTTAAGAATTTGTGTGCAAAACTTAATATGTATCTTTTTGGGGTTTTTTTTTTGGTTGTTGTTGTTTTTTAGGTGGAGTCTCACTCTGTTGCCCAGAGTGGAGTGCAGTGGCACGATCTCTGCTCACTGCAACCTCTGCTTCCTGGGTTCAAGTGATTCTCCTGCCTCAGCCTCCTGAGTAGCTGGGATTACAGGCATGCACCATGATGCCTGGCTAATTCTTTTTTGTATTTTTAGTACAGATGGGGTTTCACCATGTTGGCCAGGCTGGTCTCAAACTCCTGACCTTAAGTGATCCACCTGCCTCGGCCTCCCAAAGTGCTGGGATTACAGGTGTGAGCCATGCCCAGCCTGTATCTTTCAACTAACATTTTGTTTTATGTAAAATCATTTTGTCCATCTAAACTTAAGAATTTTAAACTGAGACTAATCAATAATTACTAGTCTTAGGATAAAAGCTAGTATAGAATATAGTGTTCAATTACAGATTGTTTCAGTTGTCAAAGATACGTAGTTTGGAATGGAAATTTCGTTTTTACTCTAATCTTTGAAGTTGAGTTTGAGCCAGGTGTGTTGTTAGAGGCATAAAATGGCCCCAGCTTTTGTTCACTGTCCAGGGGCAGATGCTCTTCACTCAAGGCGGGAGGAGCCCGTCAGTGTTGGCATCGCTGAGCACCTCCTGTGTGCAGATCAATGTACCTTGTCTTTTCTAACTAATCCTTTCAAGAAACTTTGAAATCCAGTTCTATTCACACTCCCACCATGAAATCTTGTTTGCCAGTGATCACAGGGTTGTGGCAAGCCTACCTGGCTGGGACCTTGGCCTCGCCACCCCCATCATAGCAGCAGCACCTCCCTGGCCCTCATGTGTGCCAGTGGTCACGTGTTTAAGTTGTCTGCATCCCCATCCCAGTTGAGCCCCAGGAGCAGGGGCTTGGTTTGTTCACTGCTGTTCACCCACTGCTGAAAATAACACCCCGTTTGTCAAAGTGGAGTAAGTATGTCCCCGCTGCAGTGAGGAGCTGCACTTCCATGAACTCGGAGGTACCCAGCAAACCCAGGACGGCTGTAAACACAGAGAGGGAGACCAGTACCCAAAAGCTATCTGGAGGAAGTAGAACTGGGTCCTGAGCCTGTAGGTTAATGTGACTGTGGGTTTTACACATTTGTTGTCATTCCCTTGGAGTCCTGGGCTTGCTTATAGCACTGAGAAGAACAGCCTGCTCCCTCGCCCCACTGGCAGTCAGGAGGTGGCTTCTGACAGCCAGGCGCGAACAGCCCCAGGCTTGGGAGGTGCATGCAGGGCGGTGCACAGCATGAAAGCTTCCTGAAAGCTGCACAGTGTGCAACTGAAATTTATAAAAATGTTAAATATGCTGTGTTTGCTACACACATCTGTAGGAAAAATGTTTTCAGAATCGTAAAGTTTATATATCTAATTTTAGTTATTTGGTAAATTATCTGAAGTACTTCATTCTCTGCCTGTGACTGGACCAATTAGATAGTACATCCAGTGTCACATACTTTCAGGGGTAGAGTATTTTTAGTTTAGTGTCTTGCCACCATTTATTTTTATGTTTTCATTTGCTTTAGATGTAGGCAAAGAGTCGGTCACTCTTGTCTTTTTTCAAAAATTTCTGTGTCCCTGGGCATTGCTCTGCCCCTCCAAGACCCCCCAGTCCTGTTTCCTTTAGCCCACCTGCTCCTCATGTCTGGAGATGGACTTCTGCTTCCCAGTATCCCAGGGATCTATTAAATGGGGAAAAGTGGCCAGGTGCAGTGACTCACACCTGCAATCCCAGCACTTCGGGAGGCCGAGGCAGGAGGCCAGCCTGGGCAACATAGGGAGACCCTGTTTTTACAGATAATAATAAGCAAGTAAGGAAAGACATCTCAGGCTAGAATCTCTGGCTATCTGAAGATTTTTTTTTTCCATTTTTTTCATAATTTCTGCTAATGACTACGCCATAGCAGCAAGTTAATAGCGGCAGCCTCACAGCAGCGCATGGGAAAGATGCTCAGTGAGTGACCCTCAGCCCTCCCCGGTGTGGACTTGAGGGTGAGGCAGGGAGGGAGAGAGGCTCTGCAGCCACATGGCCGCTGTTGGAGTTCTGTCTCTTTCTTATTTATTTACTCAGGGATCTCAAGCATATGACTTCATTATCTCACCCATAGTATCTGGTAGATTTTAGCATCTACCTCAGAGCACTGTCATAAAGATTAGATTATTCCATCATAGGAAGCTCTTAGAACAGTCTGTACTCTGTGTTAGCCACTATTTTTATTTTCTTTTGAGAGGATTTAGGCAGAGGGATGACAGCTGCATGGAGATCCATTTATGACCCGAGAGGTAAAGATGAGAAAATGGGGCCCAGAGAGATGGGCTGAAGGTCACAATGGAATCAAGGACAGAGACCAAAAGTGCAGTCATCCTGACAGCCGTGAGGAGCTTTTTCATTAAGATGTCATTTTCTAAGTCTATAAACTTTGATTTTCCTCTCATGTAAATTAAGTGACTTTCTTAAATGCATCATGACTTTTTTTTTTTCAAAATTTTTTTTTAAAATTTAAGTTCTGGGATACATGTACAGAATGTGCAGGTTTGTTACAGGTATACACATGCCATGGTGGTTTGCTGCACCCGTCAACCCGTCATCTCCATTAGGTATTTCTCTTAATGCTATCCCTCCTCTAGTCCCCGAACCCCCGACAGGCCCTGGTGTGTGATGTTCCCCTCCCTGTGTCCATGTGTTGTCATTGTTCAGCTCCCACTTATGAATAAGAACATGTGGTGTTTGGTTTTCTGTTCTTGTGTTAGTTTGCTGAGAATGATGGTTTCCAGCTTCATCCATGTCCTTGCAAAGGACATGAACTCACCTGTTTTTATGGCTGCATAGTATTCCATGGTGTATATGTGCCACATTTTCTTTATCTGGTCTATCACCGATGGACATTTGGGTTGGTTCCAAGTCTTTGCTATTGTGAACAGTGCCACAGTAAACATATGTGTGTGTGTGTGTCTTTATAGTAGAATGATTTATAATCTTTTCATCATGCTACCTGACTTCAGACTATATTACAAGGCTACAGTAACCAAAACAGCGTGATACTGGTACCAAAAACAGATATATAGACCAATTGAACAGAACAGAGGCCTCAGAAATAACACCACACATCTACAACCATCTAATCTTTCACAGATCTGACAAAAACAAGCAGTGGGGAAAGGATTCTCTATTTAATAAATGGTGTTGGGAAAACTGGCTAGCCATATGCAGAAAACTGAAACTGGACCACCTCCTTACACCTTTTACAAAAATTAACTCAAGATGGATTAAAGACTTAAACATAAGACCTAAAACCATAAAAACCCTACAAGAAAACCTAGGCAATACCATTCAGGACATAGGCATGGGCAAAGACTTCATGACTAAAATACCAAAAGCAATGGGCAACAAAAGCCAGAATTGACAAATGGGATCTAGTTAAACTAAAGCGCTTCTGCATAGCTAAAGAAACTATCGGCCAGGCGCGGTGGCTCAGGGCTGTAATCCCAGCACTTTGGGAGGCCGAGACGGGCGGATCATAAGGTCAGGAGATCGAGACCATCCTGGCTAATACGGTGAAACCCCGTCTCTACTAAAAAATACAAAAAACTAGCCGGGCGAGGTAGTGGGCGCCTGTAGTCCCAGCTACTCAGGAGGCTGAGGTAGGAGAATGGCGTAAACCCGGGAGGCGGAGCTTGCAGTGAGCTGAGATCCGGCCACTGCACTCCAGCCTGGGTGACAAAGTGAGACTCCATCTCAAAAAAAAAAAAAGAAACTATCATCAGAGTGAAGAGGCAACGTACAGAAAGGGAGAAAGTTTTTGCAATCAATCCATCTGACAAAGGGCTAATATCCAGAATCAACAAAGAACTTAAACAAATTTACAAGAAAAAAGCGATCCCATCAAAAAGTGGGTAAAGGATATGAACGGACACTTCTCAAAAGAAGAAATTTATGCAGCCAACAAGCATATGAAAAATGCTCATCACTGGTCATTAGAGAAATGCAAGTCAAAACCACAGTGAGATACCATCTCACACCAGTTAGAATGGCAGTCATTAAAAAGTCAGGAAACAACAGATGCTGGAGAGGCTGTGGAGAAATAGGAACACTTTTACACTGTTGGTGGGAGTATAAGTTCAACCGTTGTGGAAGACAGTGTGGTGGTGGTGATTCCTCAAGGATCTAGAACCAGAAATACCATTTGACCCAGCAATCCCATATGACATTTTAAAATAATGACCTGGCAAATTAGATGGGACTGTTGAAAAGGGCTGTCTTTAAAATTTCAGATCGTATTGCTAATCAAGCTTTTGTTTGCTCTGGTGAGTGTTGTTTTAAGCGACACAATCCAATGCTAATTTATTGTTGTATATTAATTTATTCAGTAGGCCCTGCTATATCCCAAGCACCTGGCAAGTAGTAGGCACTTGTTATTCCTAAAATGAATGAGTGACTGAGCATACAAACCAACTGTTGTATACATAAATATTTTCTAAGTTACTCCAATTATTTTTTTTACCACAGTTAAACTCTTCCATAAATTCTACTTGAAGAACTATTAAGCTACTCTAAGATAATTACATTTTTGCTGATTGTTGTACTGAACCTACACGTTGCTTTTTTGTTTTTTTCCTTCAAGCAAACTGCATAGTCAGAAACAGAGGAAGTTATTTTCACTTTTTTTAAATTTTATTTTGTATTTTTTTGAGACAGAGCTTTGTTGCCCAGGCTGGAGTGCAGTGGTGTAATCTTGGCTCACTGCAACCTCCGCCCCGCCGGGTTCAAGAGATTCTCCTGCCTCAGCTTCCCGAGTAGCTGGGATTTCAGGCACTTGCCACCATGCCCAGTTAATTTTTGTATTTTTAGTAGAGAGGGGGTTTTGCCATATGGGTCAGGCTGGTCTCGAACTCCTGACCTCAGGTGATCCGGCTGCCTCGGCCTCCCAGTGTGCTGGGATTATAGGCGTGAGCCCTGCGCCCGGCCTATTTCCACTTTATAAAAAGATTCTACACAAAGATGTCCTCTAATTTCCTAAGTTAGCGGGACTTTACTTATACAGAAAAAGATATATTTACATATATATTTTTCAATTTTCCTAATTGTTGATTCAAGAATTGGTTGTAGGCTATTTAATTCCAGGTACATCCTATAATTGCCCCCTTAAAAATGCCAGATTAAAGTGTATTAACAAAGTATGCTAATGCTCCTAAGAACAGATTTGTTAAAGAAAGTACAAGAAGTGACGGTGTTGTCACCATTCAGAAATGTCCATTTCCATTGAAGGAAGTGCTACTCGGCTCATCTGAGAGTCTGACCTCAGTTCAATTAAATTTGACCTTGTAGCTCTGATGTTTTTAAGAAAAATTGAACATAAATTGCTGACAATGGTGGATAGGTGGTGTCAGGCAGTTTGAGCACACTGGGAACATAAGGCTCCTCATTAGATGGCATGCCAAAAAGAGCTTGTTCTCCAGGCAAATATCCAGATTATACTGGAAGTTTGAAATGCCGGTATTAATAATACTCTGCAAGTATCCACTGCCATCTTCATTTTTCTTTAATTCTCACCATATTTATCCTATCAACAAGATAATTTGTAGAGTATGACTAAACGCAGCAACTAAGAATGCTTTTACCAAAATAAAATTATATGTTGTGTAACAGTTCAGTTTCAGATAAAAAAGCAGTCTGTCTTTCTGCCAGTGCTAGAAGTCAGTGGACATTTGACAGAGAGTCAAAATGGTTCCCAAGAAAAGCAGAGAAAAGGGACAACCCCCAAAATAGAATCACCTCTCACAGACCACTGCTTGAGCAACTTGTGAGTTGTAGGAGGGGCGCTGGTTCCTAAGCCTGAAGTGGAGGACATGTTTTAGTTCAGCCTGCATGAGGTTGTAGTGTGGTGCTTCCTTACCTCGGGGCAGGGGCGGGCAGGCAGTCCACACACTGCTAAAGGACCGGAGGAAAGTGGCTGGAGCTTCCAGAGAATTGATGAAAACTACAAAGTCTGCATGGTTCTGCATTGACTTGCTAGATTACATCCCTTTTTTGTAAAAGACAATAAATTTAAGAAGTCTTTTTAAAATTAGATAATCAAAGTTGAGATCACTGAGGGCTGTTCCAGGTTATTAATTCTGTCTGGCACACACACTAGATGGGAAGCAGCAGAGCAGGAAGGCACAAGCACAGATTGTGGGATCCCCCTGCTCTCCAGGTCTGGCGCCTCCCTCCTCAGTGATGTGGCCTTGGGGCCAGCTTCTTCTCTCCATGCCTCAGTTTTCTCATCTGTAGAGCGGGGATAATAGTAAGACCTACCTCACAGGGGCATTACAGGCATTAGAAGGGCATCAGGTACTTCAGATGGTGCCTTTATAATAATCACTCAGTAAATGCTTACAGTTAATTACAAATCTAAAGGAACCCAAAGGTGAAGAATGAGCAAAGTTGATTTGGTCTGCCCAGGGAAGAATACTTTCTGTGTTCTGTAGTAAGGCTGACTTTAAAAATAGAGGTAGCGGACGTTGTTGTTTCTCTTCCCTTCCCCATGTACGTGAGGCCCTTCAGGATCACAGGCACACATGCAGTGCCAGTTTGCTCCTAGATCCAAGAGTGTTCAGGAATGGACCTCGAATTTCAAATAGCTGTGATTTTATTTAACTTTATCGAATTCTAGTTTTATTATATTATCACCAGAGAGCTTGGCCTTTAAGATCTCTAATTCTTTGAAATGATTAAGTTTTCCTTTGTGGACTTCTTTGTAATTGATTTTTATAAATATTCTATTGATGTGTGAGAAAAATACAGATTCTCTATTTGAAGGATGTACTTTCTTTCTGTTGATCTAATTCTTCCACATCTTTACTTGTTTAAAACTGTCAGATTTGAGGAGATACGCAGTCATGCACCACATAACGAGGTTTTGGTCAGTGACCGACCGCGTGTAGTGTGGTGGCCACATAAGATTATTTCCTATTTTTACCGTACTTTTCCTGTGTTTAAGTAGATTTAGATACACAGATACTTGCCATTATGTTACGGTTGCTGTTCAGTGCAGGAACATGCTGTATGAGGTCTGTGGTCTAGCTGTGTAGGTGTTGTGAAATACACTCTGTGATGTTCACACAGTGACGAAATTCCCAACAATGCGTTTCTCAGACTGTAACCCCCTTGTTAAGCGACCCATGACTGTATAAAAAACTTCCTACAGTATTTGTGTTTTTAACAAATATTCATTAAATTCCCAACAGACTTTGCTTTATAGCTAATTAGAGGCCTGTGAATGATGATGGTTTCTTTGTTAAATGTCTTTTGCCCTGTTCATTACCATTTTAACCGGAAATGCAATCTTTTCAACTGTGAACACCACGGCCCTTCTCGCCTCTATGCTTACGTGTGCCTGGTGGTGTCCATTTTGTAGTCCTGTGTGTGTAACTAGTCTAAACTGACCGTGCTTCTAAAGGATCAGAAGGCTAATCCCATGCCTTCTGCTGATGAGTTCAGTCTTTTTAGAAGGAATTTTAAAACATGATATTAGAGAAATGTAGAAAACTTACTTCGATGATGGGAGGGGAGGTGGTCGGGAAGGCTTACCTCCCAGGGGACACGTATTCTCTGTTCCTGGTATTTCCTCCCCTAGTGGAGCAGCAGTTCCAAAACCAAATGTCTCAAGGGTCCTTTTCACTTTTTAAAATTACTGAGGACCCCAAAGAGGTTTGGGTCATGTGAGTTATATCTATTAATGTTTGCCACATTAGAAATTAAAACAATTTGTAAAATATTTCTGCATTTATTTAAAAGTAAGGATTGGGCTGGGTGCAGTGGCTCATGCCTGTAATCCCAGCCTTTGGGAGGCCGAGGTGGGCGGATCACCTGAGATCAGGAGTTTGAGACCAGCCTGGCCAACACGGTGAAACCTGTCTCTACTGAAAATACAGAAATTAGCCTGGCGTGGTGGCACGCACCTGTAATCCCAGCTACTTGGGAAGCTGAGACTGGAGAATCGCTTGAACCCAGGAAGCAGAGGTTCAGTAAGCCGAGATCGTGCCATTGCACTCCAGCCCAGGAGACAAGAGTGAAACTCCGTCTTAAAAACAACAACAACAAAAAAACAGGACTATCTCACACCTTGGCATACCCTCCTGGTGTCTGATGTGATGGAGGGGATTATTCCTCATCTCTGCTCCTGAGTTCAGTCTTCTGTAAGGTAGCATCTTGAGGCCTCTGGAGCACTTCACTGCACACTAATGAATGTCAGGGTAGAAAAGGAAAATCCTATCTTAGTGAAACTGTGGAAATAGTTTAGACCTTGGGCTCCCTTAAGAGGCCCCTAGACGATGCTTTGGGAACCGTGGTGGTAGAACTTTCTCTCCCAGACTCCCTCTGCCCTGACCCCTCTTATTGGTGAGAAACAGACATGTGTAACTCTTCTTTTTTCCTTTGAGGAATAAAAGATACTTGTACATTTTGGTCTGTTTCTTTCATGTCTTCAGTGTTGTAGGGCAAGAAGCCTATCTGGGGAGGCTTTGGTTATTAAGCAATGCTTAGGGCTTGCTGGCATCATCTCAGTCTAGGATTCAGATTAGGAAATCCATTGCTGTGTGAATCTGAATCGCATCCGCCAGTCCAGCTATTAGGAGCAATAATGCTGATAACCTCAGTTGGCCTGAATCTTTTGTCTCTAAATTGATTCTAAAGTGAGGCAGGGAAAAGGGGTGCTATTCAACATTAAAACAAGGAAGAAATTCAATAACAACATTCAGTTAATTTGAAAAGATAAAGGAACAGGATTGAAATTTTAACAATGGTCTTCTCAGCTTTGCTTGGCGTAACCTGATCTTATCTCTGGCCAGTGCCCTCAACTGGTGTATTTTAGTGTAAGATATTTTTATGTAAATATGTTAGAAATCACAGAATGTTTTTCCCCCAAAGATTATCATGTGATTGTCACATTTATAATGTTATTTGGGACTGAGCATACGACTTAGTGATTGCTCATTCTGGAAATCAAGAAAGGCTGGAAGAACTGGAAGGAAGGGATGAAAAACTCCATTTTCAGAGAAATAAGAGGCAGATGCAATTCACAGACTCTAAAATGTGCATGAAGCTTACCAAAAGTAGCTAAGCTTGGGCAGCGATAGTATAGGCAGAACTGAGCAGAAGGGCTAAGGCTAACAAAAGCACTTGTCAGGGCCCAGTCTAGAAGATGAGCCCCACATGCCCTGTGCACTGAGAGCCTGAGTCACAGATGTTCAACTCCAGCTTGCAGAGTGCAGAAGTTCCAGGGAGGACCACTGACAGCAAAGGGCTTCCCGGATCCAGTTTTACTCAGAGACATGGGCTGTGGGGTCACCCAGGGATTCACGTACATGCAGGTAGCAGCTGGGGGACAGAGTGCTGGAACTGGGAAGGCTGAAAGCTGCCATTCCCCCTACCCTGAGGGCCTCTGCAAAACAGATGCCCTAGGAAGTCCCACCTCACTCTGAAATGCCTGTTAGAGAAGAAGGTGATGTCACTGCATGGATATTGTCTAAGGAAATTGTGGGAAATGTGTCTGTGAAGCAGGATGGAATCATGACCAGACAGTTCATCATGAATGAAAAAAAAAAAACAGGAAACTCACGAAGCAGTTCTGTAGCAGAAGATCCCAGTGCAGGAATGCCACAAAACAGAAAAGAGATTTTAATGAGGTTGAGTATCCCATATCCCAAATGCTTAGAACTGGAAGTGTTTTCGATTTTGGATTTTTTCAGATTTTGGAATATTTACATATACATTATGAGATATCTTGGGGCTGGGATACAAGTCTAAATTTGGAATTCATGTATGTTTCACATACACCTCATATACATAACCTGAAGGTAATTTTATATAGTATTTTTAATAATTTTGTGCAGCCCATCACCTGAGGTCAAGTATGGAATTTTCCACTTGTCAGTGCTCAAAAAGTTCCAGAGTTTGGAGGATTCTGGATTTTGGAATTAGGGATGCTCAACCTGTATAACCAAGTGAGACAGCAGGAGACAAAGCCAAGTTGGCAGAAGGAAGGATGGCATCTGCCGGGAGAACCACCACAGAGGCGAAGGTGGGATTGGAAGGGCCCAGGAGAAAATAAGATGTTTTGGGAAACACAAAAAAAGGTGATGGAAATAGTACGAATGAGAAAATTAATAAGAATGAAACCATAATCATGAGTTTAAGAGGAACTAGAAAGAAAATTACAGCTGTAGAGAACAGGGAGAGGGGTTCCAGCATATTTATCATTGGAATCTTCAAGCAGGAAAACAAAACAAAAGGACAGAACAAATATTTAAAGATAATGTTCAGGAAAATTCTGCTCAGGTAAAAATAGATGGAAGCATACATTGTGAGAGGGCAAATTTTATGCTGGGGAAGGTTGACTGAGAACAGGTCATGAGTGTGCCACATCCTACAGGAATTATTAAACTCTGAAGATGAGGCAAGAACCTCCCAATGGGTAAACAACGTGTCATCTCTTACCAAGGGAAGAGATCAGGGTGGCTTCAAATTTCTTCAAATTCTTCAGATAGTGGAGTCATCCTTACTTATGGGATCCTCCAGGAAGAAAGGATGCCCCATAAATTTTATGTCCAGTCAAACTGTCTGGCTGCCAGGCTGCAAACAAACAGTATTGATCATGTGAGAACTCAGGGAATACTTACTGTTCTCATGAGCATTTTTGGCTGGAGAAACAATGTCCATCAGACTGGATGTCAGTGAATCTCCAGCAGCAGCCGTGTGGCTGAGGGTGGTGGAGCAGTGTGAGTGGAGGGCAGAGGAGAAAAGGTCGGTGTTAGAGATTGTTGACTGTCTCACCTGTAATCACAGGGAGGCACTAAGATGTCGTTCACGAAAATCAAGTTGTACAGGAGAGGGATGGAAGGAAGGAGCAAGATGAATGGCAGTTTTATCACAATGTGGAACAGGAAACTAACAACGCGAAGATGTGTTGTATGAGGAGGTAAAATTCCAAAAGTAACCCCTAGGACAAAATAGTGCAAGCATTTCTAAGTTTCAGAAGAACTACAGAGAGAATGAAAACTTTTTCAAAAAAAGCTACAAAAACATGTCATAAAATTAAGACCAAACATGTTGTATCTATACATGTAAACACATAACCTTATACACATAACCTGAAGGCTGGCAAAAGACTTCAGATTGGATCAAAAAGTGAAACCCAACTAAGAAGCACACCTAAAACAGTGATTTACAAAAGTTGAAAATACATGAAAAGATGTATTAGGCAAAAATAAAAAATAAAGTGGGACAAAAAGCATTAAAGGAAAGCAGCAGCCCACTTTTTCCTGCCATAATGCACATCAGAGTAGGGGCAACTGGAAGAGCAGAGCATCCCAGGAGGGCAAGCAGAGCAGCGGCGAGGGCCTTGCTTGTCATTCCCACAGGAGACCTCTACTTCACAGGTTCTGTCACAGGGATTTGTTACTGTGGCTTCCTAGAATACAAATTCTACAGTATTTTATTTTAATGCAATTTATTTGCTATTTAATAATGAGTTTTTAAATACAAAATGCTATTTAATAATGAGTTTGGTGATGTTTTCCCTTTTTAATTTCTACATGGAAGGGCTGTTTGATTTTCTGATTGTCTGTTCAGCAAACAACTGCGAGTATGGGCTTAGGTTGTGAAAATATTTGTTAGTGCCCAACCATTCATTCTAGCCTCTTTCTGGTATGCCCTTGTGCTACAGAGACTGGAAAGCTAAAAGCTCCGTTTCAGACTCTTGCAGCCTGGGCTCTGGGAGGAGATATGCTTCCACTAAGTAAATGAATGCCTACAAGACTAGAAGACAGAGTTGCAGGCCGCGGCTGCCTCAGCTCCCTTGTACGAAGGTCTCTTCAGGTTTGCATGGGTAGTGACTGTTTCCTGTACCCGGACTCTGATACAGTGGCTTAATTTAGGATGGCATGTTAGAAATCTTCATGCATGTGTGTTATATCGCCGTGGTTTGTAATTCCATATTAAATAGATTTATATATTGCTCAGCTTTTTTTTGTCTTTCCTTTAAGCTATTGCAGCTAATTGCAAAATCCCAGTTAACTTCATTGAGTGGTGTGGCACAAAAGAATTACTTCAACATTTTGGATAAAATCGTTCAAAAGGGTAAGATGATCACTGTATTTTTAATACTCTAAATCTTAATTAGAAATTTGGTGCAACGAGATGGGATTTTTCTTTTATCTTTACCTAGTACACATGCTGTCAAAAACAGTTGTGTAAATAATGTGATAACATCAGAAATACAGGTCATCCCTGTAGTTCCCAGTGTTCTGTTACTGCTGTTTACTTTTTTAAAGTTGCTTTTGCATACAAAGCGATGTACTAGGAAAAATAACTAATCCCAGAACTTAAAAAGCTGTTTTACCTTTTCATGGTTAGCTAATCACAGTTCGTTTTAGATGTATGCTTCCAAAATTAGCAGGATTGTGACTTACTCACTTAGGCATCAGATAAGCCAGTAATTTTCTTTTTAATTTAATGAGCTGGCCTTGGTAAGTTACTGGCTGTTAGTGAGTGGAATTTTAAATTTTACACCATGACTTTATACATACATAGGAATATATGACTCCATATTTAAGCCACTTTAAAGTAGCCACTTTATGATAAGTACAAAAGAAAGTATAAACTGACCATTTTAAAGGCACAATTGTAGACCCAACTGAAAATTTATCAGATAAAATTTTAAAGTTTTTAAAAATCTCATTATATTTGTGATATCTCAAAAATGATGTCACTTTTCGGTTGCAGTGAAATTACATCCTTTTTATTGTGCTAAAATACACATAACACAAAATTTACCATTTTAGCAGTTTTTAAGCATCCAGTTCAGTGGCATTAAGTACGTGTACGTTATTGGGCACCCATCACCACCGTTCATCTCCAGAACCTCTTCATTGTCCCAAGTGAAACTCCTGTCTCCTTCAACACTGAGCCCCATTCCTCCTCCCTGCCAGCCCCTGGTCGTTCTCATTCTACTTCCTGTCTCTATGAATGGGACTACTCTAGGTGCCTCATGTAAGTGGAGTTATATATTTGTCCTTTTGTAACTAGCTCATTTCACTTTGCATAATGTCTTCAGGGTTCATCCATGCTGACTATGTGTCAGAATTTCCCTCCTGTTTTAGACTGAATAATATTCTATTCATGTATAGATCACACGTTGTTTGTTCATCTATCGGTGGACATTTGGGTTGTGAAACCAGATTGTTTTTTAAAGTGTTGCTTAACTGTGTCAATCCATAGTTTTATTTTTATTTTTTCCAGTTCTTGATGACCACCACAATCCTCGCTTAATCAAAGATCTTCTGCAAGACCTAAGCTCTACCCTCTGCATTCTTATTAGAGGAGTAGGGAAGTCTGTATTAGTGGGAAACATCAATATTTGGATTTGCCGATTAGAAACTATTCTCGCCTGGCAACAACAGCTACAGGATCTTCAGATGACTAAGGTATAAATATCTCAGCATAAGAGTTACTACACTCTGTTTTTGTATTACAAAAGTTGTTATCTTTTCTAAGCATACATGAAAGACTGCTATAGCTTTTTGAAAGACTTTCTGATGCTTTCTTAAGTATTCATTAAATTGTTTTAAAATAGAAAAGGACCAAAGACCCCTAATGGCTTATAATTGCTATTGGAAAGGCAGTGGGAATAGCAATCATTAAACCAGGCTGATCCTGTGGGTGATTAGATGTAAACAGATTTACCTTCATGGGAAATTGAATATTTCAGTTATTAGAATAACATTCAGTAAATTAAGGCTAAATTGTATTGCCAGTAATTATTTATTTAGTTGTTGCTTCTCCCAAGTTAGTAATTTTTTGTCTTCTTCCTTGCTGTCTTTTTTGGGGATGTGTTTATAGTTCTTGGCAACAATGAACAAGGCCAAAAGAAGGTGCAGATCACGTCAGTTGTGTTTGATATTTTTTCTTAATTCTGGTAACTAGTTTCAACAAGAAAAATGTTAACACCATTGCCCCAGGTATTTACATAGTGTTTTATTTAACTCTAGTACTAACAAGAAAAAGAATAAACTGAAGATATATCTTAGTGGTGTGACTTATGTAGCCTTAGTGGTATAAATGATTCTGCAGATTGTACTGGTAGGGTCATAGTTAACCTTTTATCATAGCACCCCAGGTTCCACAAAAAGGAATGGTTTTCAAGTGCCCTTCAAATGCCTTAACTTTTGGCTGTTTATTTGCCATCTAAATATGAGACTTACAAAAAGAGTGATGATTGCCTAGTTTTGAGTCTGAAATTATCATTAATAATGTAACATTCAGCGTCGGTAAGAGTTAAGCAAGTTTGTTATAAACGTCGGACCCTGCTCGGTTGTCTTGGTGTGACCCTGTAGTCGTTCAGAGCTTTGCACAGGCTGGCTCTTGGCTGCCTCTTTTACTGCGTTCCCCATGCATAGGTGAGTTGTACTAAAAGTCCGCCTGTAAGACACGCATGGCACAGGCTTGCTGTAGAAGTCCTGACATGAGTGACCAGGCCACATGGCCAAAGTCCCCTTTCTCCTGATGAGATGGATCCCTGGTAGTGATGTCCAGCGGGTGACCTTCTCGGGGAGAGAACAGGGTGTGTCCTTGTCCATGGTGGGTTTTCCTGGTCCGGATCCCAAGGAAGGGGGTGTTCGGGAAAGGCCAGGAAGCAGCCTTTCTGGTCTGGCTGGGAAGTTCCAGATGGGATTAGTGGCTCTCCATTCTTTGGAGAGAGATGTGGAGCCAGTGGGGAGATGTGGACCAGTGGAGACAACAACAAAGCTCCAAGGACTGGGCCACACCTCACCAAGAGGAGAGAAAGGAGAAAGCAAGGGAGAAGCTTGCATCTTTGACTGGGTGGGCTGAGACAGAGCAGGAAGGCACAGCTGTATGCTGAGCTTCCTTCTGGATCTTCGTTCCGTTCATACTACCTGGGAAGAGGCACAGGCTGAGGGATAACAGAAGTGCATGTGGCCCCAGCTTGGCCCACTCAGGGCTGCCCATAGCCCGTGAAGGAAGACACTCTGCTTTTGGCCTGGGATGGTTCCCACAGCCCTGGTAGGCAGAGCACACTCACATGGCAGTACCTCTCTGCCTCAGCACAGAAGGATAGGTGTTAGCATAGTGCCATGTTGATCAAGTGGGAAAAATAAGGCACAAGAATGAAATTAATGATTAATCTTTGAGGAATAAGAAAGCGCCGGTAACACAAAGGTGCCAGTTTTCATCATGTCCACTCCAATCTTACCATCAAAGACCTGAACTGGTTTCTTTTGTTTCATTGGTGGTTGCGTGCTGCCTGGCATCTCTTCACCTCAGTCCCTGAGTGCTCTCTGAAGCAGGAAGCGTGGCATGTGCCTCTGTGAGGATCTTGGCTTCTGGACCCTGTGCCCTGCTTCCAGCCTCGAGGAGGGTCAGGTTCCCTTGTAGGAGTTGGCCAGAGGAGTTTTACCTCTCTGGGAATGTTACTTGAAACCAGTAGAAAGAGCACTTTACCAACTCAGTTAACTGAGCTGCATTTGTGGATGCCGGACTCAGTCAGCCAAATTGGTCTGAGGCTGCTTAAGGTAAAGATCTGGTCTCCTGACCCGCTGGCTGATGCTGGATTGCTACCTCACACTTATTCATGTGAATTTTGAGGTGACTCGAGCAGATGGGGTTAGAACAGAGCAGCTGAGAGCCTTCCCAGATCCCTGACAGTGGAACTTCAAGCACACCGCCTAAAGTTCCGCCACGTCAGCCTCACAGGATACAGGGACCAGCTTTCTCCAGTGCGTTGACAGTCGTCTTTGTCTTCTAGATTATCCCAACAAGAAATACTTTGACACCCCTGGCCAGGCGCAGTGGCCCACACCTGTAATCCCAGCCACTCTGGGAGGCCAAGGCGGGTGGATCGCCTGAGGTCAGGAGTTGGAGACCAGCCTGGCCAACGTGGTGAAACCCTGTCTCTACTAAAAATACAAAAAGTAGCCAGGCGTGGTGGCAGGCACCTGTGGTCCCAGCTACTCGGGAGGCTGAGGCAGGAGAACTGCTTGAACCTGGGAGGTGGAGGTTGCAGTGAGCCGAGATCGTGCCATTGCACTCCAGCGTGGGCAACGAGAGTGAAACTCCATCTCAAAAAAGAAATACCTCGACACCCCTTAAATCTAAATTCTCATAGTCCCAAAAGTAAGCAGAAATTTAGTACATATTATGTTGAAAAGTTCCTAAGAACATCAGAAATTTTTTTCTTGAAAAACAAACACACTTTGCTGTTGAAGCTGCATTTGAAGATACGGCAGTGGTGATGAACTGGAAGTGCTTTCATGTGCACATCTCTGTGACTCAGCCAGAGTGGACACACAGGAACGTGTTCACATGCTTCCTCACCCAGTCAGCACTTCCTGGATGCCCCCATGTGCTTGCTAGGCCCCTCGGAGGTGGGACACATGGATCAGCAGGCGTGGCCTTTAGCGTGGGGCGTCCGAGGGCCCAGGGAGATGAGCCCATGGTGAGTCACAGAACTCAGTGGGTTATAACAGATATGCACACAGGGCTGTTGACATTACATTGGTTCACTAGTGATGTGATGTTTTAGGTGGAGCTTAAAGAATGGGCCGGGCGTGGTGGCTCACACCAGTAGTCCCAGCACTTTGGGAGGCCAAGGCGGGCGGATCACAAGGTCAGGAGGTCGAGACCATCCTGGCTAACACAGTGAAACCCCGTCCCTACTAAAAATACAAAAAATTAGCCAGGCGTGGTGGCGGGCACCTGTAGTCCCAGCTACTTGGGAGGCTGAGGCAGGAGAATCGCTTGAACCCAGAAGGCGGAGGTTGCAGTGAATGGAGATCACACCACTGCACTCCAGCCTGGGCGACAGAGCGAGACTCCATCTCAAAAAAAAAAAAAATGGGAAAAAAACTGAGGGGAAAGTGTCCAGGTGGTGGCCTGTTGGTCGGTGCTTCACAACTGGCTCCCCAGAGGCAAGAGGTTTGATTTGTAGCGTTTGTCACTTTCCCACTATGACTGACTTCAAGCCACCAACGAAAAGCAAACTGGCTGACAAAATTCCCAGAAGTTGCAGAGTTGACTCCTGTGAGAAGGTGTGGGAACTTCTGCGTCTAGGGGCTGATAGAGTGTGGTGTGCCAAACGTGTGTGCTGCTGGGAAGAAGGTGCAGGGCGTTAGGATCAGACTCAGGGCTTTATGGGCATTGCAGAGTGTTTGCTGCTCTCTGCCAAGGGTCACTGAAAGGTCCATGTTTAGAGGTACCCCTTCAGTGCCAGGCAGGGATCAGCCAGGTTGGAGGGAAGCAAACCCTCATTGCATTCATGAGGAATGACAGTTAAATGGGAAGGATGAACTTGGGGATACTTTAGCAAAAGACTAGACTGGTGACTTTGAAGTGGGTGTGAGGGAAAGAATAATTGAGGGAGACTTCAGTTACTCACCACATAGTGAGGGGATGGGCCTCCCATGGAGAAGGGCAGAGCAGTTGGGAACACAGACGTGGGACCAGGCAGACTGGGCTCGAGGCTGGACCGTGATCGAAGCTGGACCCCGATCTTGGGCAAGCCAGTCAACTCATCTGTATCTCTTGTTTTTTTTCTGTGTAAAATAGAATGATAATAGCAACACAAGTTTCTGTTAGCAGAAGTGCTTCCACAGAGAAACGGGAATCGTTAACAGTCGCATGCAATAGCTGAGACTATCCTGAAGCAGGAGAAGCAGACAGCAGCATCGTTTCTTCCTTCCATTGCGGTGTAGGTGTGAGAGATTTCATAATGGCAGAGAGCATGAGCTAATCAGTGGAGGAGGTGTGGCAAAAAACGCAGCAGGATTTCTGACATGTTCAGCAAGACTTTTGTGCCTTGTCACATTTCGAGATTTCGTTTGGATGAGAAGTGCTGGCATTTCTGCTACACCCTCTTGTTATAGCCATTAACAGGGCTGTAAAACTGGACTCTGCCAGAAATCCCAAATGCCGAGTTGTCACACCAGACTCTATAACTCTACTAATCCAGGATTTTTTTTCTTTGTACTACCTTCATACCACCACTTCATACTCCCTTTAAACTTTGTAATTTTAACAGCAGAATATTTGTAAACTCCTGTCTGCTACAGAAATTTTTCTCAATAGGAATTAGAATGAAGCACCTGGAAGACATAATTCTTGTGAGAGTGTTAGACTTTTAGTTGGGGATTAATTTACATGCACGTTATCGTTTTGTTTTGTTTTTGTTTTTGAGATGGGGTCTTGCTCTGTCTCCCAGGCTGGAGGGCAGTGGTTCAATCATAGCTCACTGCAGGCTTTAACTCCTGGGCTCAGGTGATCCTCCCACCTCAGTCTCCTGTGTTGCTGGGATTATAGGTGTGAGCCACCCAGCCTGGCCATTTTCTCTTTTCTATGTGCTCTCTGCCATATGCTAGACAATAAAGATGGAAGGATAGGCTAAGACTTGAATCAAATGTGTCAGACTCATCAGTAATGAACAAAGACGTTTGCTGAGAGCCTGCCGGCACCATGCTGGCTGCTGGGGAAGTGATGTCTCTTGGACTGTGCAGCTCCATAGCCTACAACACGGTGCAGTGGTGCAGTCCATGAAAGCTTCATGATTATGTCCAGAATGTCAGAGCACTTCACAAACTGTCAAGCAGTGTTGAGGCCCCACTCGTGTCTGGCGGATGCATAGTGTGCTTGATGAGGTGAAGGCGGCTTAGAGTGCATCACTGGTGGTCCATCCTCGTGCTGCCCACTGGGAGGCACGAGAAGCGCCCTGCAGCAGTTTCCATTCTGAAGTCCTAGGAAGTTGCTTCCATCGCAAGGGCATTATAGGGGAGCAGGAGAAGAAAGTGGGGTGTCAAGGCACGGGTGCCCCAGTCACCTCTCCCTACACTCCACTGTCCACAGAGGTCAGGCAGTTTCAAGAACCAAACTCATGGAATTAGCTCATTCTAGCCAAAAATAGATGGTCACTGTGCTTTGTGTGCAGCAGGAATATAGAAGGGCACAACACATCAGAAGGAAGCTAGCTCTCCCTGTGGCCAAGCACATATATCAACCTATTGGGAACAAAAGAAAAATACAAATCAGAAGCTCGCGGGTGAGCAGACTGAGGTCAGGGACCGAGGCGGGACCAGGTAGCCTCTGTCCCACCCAAACAGCCAGAACCCCACTGTCAGGAAGAGGTGCTTCTAGTGAGAATGAAGGGAATCATTTAGATACAACTGAGGCCTGAAAAGTCTGAAACAGGATGCACTCAACCCAGGGCTTTCTCAGGTCAACCTCAGGCAGAGTTTAATTTTTGAACTGACTGAGCCCACTTCTCGGGGCCAGGGACAGCCAGCCTTCCTCAGCCTGGCGCGTGCACACACGTGTATCTTCTCAGGGCAGATGCACTGCATTTACTCTCTGGTGTGCGTGAGGGAGAAATGGTTTGTAAACTTGAAGTCATAGAAATGTAAAGCTGGAAGGTTGGGGGATGTTGGACAGAGGGTGAAAGGTTTCTGTAGTGCAGGAGGAGTCCATTCTAGAGGTTGTCTACACAGCATGATGACTGCAGTTAATAATTATACATCCTTCACTTCAGATTGGCTAAGAGTAGATCTTAAATGTTCTCACTACAAAAATAAAAGGGTTATGACTTGAGGTGACAGACAGCGAGCTGGGCTATGGCCATTGGTTCATAACGCATACAAGCACAGAATACCACGTGCTGCCAGTATAGACAGATTCCATTTATCACTTACACCTCAATAAAGGAAAAACCCACAAAGCTAGAAGGGGCTTTGCAGATGATGTGGTCAGCCTCCCTCGTCACTGGGGTGACCAGCTGTGACCCATCAAGGCCCAGGGGCTGTCCAGGCCACCCAGACGGTGTGGCGCAGGCCCTGCCCCTGCTGGTGATGGGTGTCATGTTGCCCTCGTGGTGCGTTGGATTCATCTGGGCAGCAGTGCCACGTCTGCAGACCCTGCTCTTCTCCAGGTGTGTCTCGATGCCGTAGAGGAGTACTGACCTCCTGATGCTGATAGACACGTGGCGCATGGGGAGGTGCAGCAGTGGGGCCTCACCCAGGAACAGCCCGGTTCTGGCCTGCTGTGCAGCCCTCCCTTGCCCTCCTCTTCCAGCCCTCCCCAGGGTGGTGGATGCAGGCCCCTTGATGCCTTGCAATGCATGACCTGGAGAGCTCCTTTTGTGTTGCCATGTTTTGAAGCATTCATTCCAGCTTGACTCTTCAGTTACTGTGTGAACAAACACTGGCCATCTTCTCAGTGAGATGCTGTTGTGTTTTCCTTTCAGCAAGTGAACAATGGCCTCACCCTCAGTGACCTTCCTCTGCACATGCTGAACAACATCCTCTACCGGTTCTCAGACGGATGGGACATCATCACCTTAGGCCAGGTGACCCCCACGCTGTATATGCTCAGTGAAGACAGACAGCTGTGGAAGAAGCTGTGTCAGTACCATTTTGCTGAAAAGCAGGTGAGTGGGATGCAGCAGTGTCCCCTCAGGCAGGGAGTTTAGTAGACTCTGCCTAGGGGCCATACCCTATAAACTCACCTGAAGAGAAAGAATGGCTGAGTGTTTTCCACTTTGAAAGAACCAGGAACAATCAGAATTTATTGAGATTGCTGTGGTTTCTCTCCTACAGAATGTAAGGTTTATTTTTCCTGTTGAAAAAGAACCATGATTCTAAAATAACCCAAAACTGAACAGCAAAGCATGAGCTGAGTTCTTTTCTCTCCTGTTGATAACGAGGTGTGTAGAGTCCCTGGCTCACTGACTGCCTTTTCTCCTGATTTGATGAATCAGATTCCAGTTCTGCTTTTGACCAAGCTGCACATCTTTGAAAAGTCAGGCGCCCTCTGTGTGTCTCAGTGCTCTCAGCACTTGGTAGATGGCACTCCTGAGTGTCCACAGCGCGCCCCGCCACTGCCTTTTGCCTCCTGCACTTGGGATTGCACGTGGGGCAGCATAAGGTGTGTTCTCCTGTCAGTGCTCGAGGCCTTTCCAGGGTGGTCTGCTCATTCCGCATTCACGATGAGACCTTGTGGTCCCTGTTCCTGGGCATCTGCAGAAACTGGGGGTTCCCCTCATCACCCCACAGATGTCCAAGGCACCTGCTCTGCCTGGGGCTGGGCGCAGCCAGGGAAGGCAGGTGGCTGGAGGGAGGCGCGTTGTGCCCCTCATGGGGTGGGATTGGAACTGTGGTCAGCACTGTGAAGACCTAGGATGGGACTGGGTGCCTTTCATGAGGAGCACAGTCTACCCTTGGAGTGCAGAGCAGTGGACAGGGCCTAGGCAGAGAGCAGGACCCTACCATGGGGAGGGTGCTGTGTGTGTGAGTGGTGGATGGTGAGGAAGCACAGCAGAGGCCAAGCCACATGAAGAATCTTTGTCTGTGTCCTGTGAGCTCAGGGGAGCCAGCAAAGCGCATGGAATTGCAGCTTTCAGAAGAGCTTCTGTTCTTGTTTGAGGACTAGGCCGGAGTGGATACAAGAGGATCCATGAGGATCCTGCCTCAGGAAAATAAGAGTTACGGGCAAGGAAGTGCACGAGGGCAACAGAGAAGACATCAGAAAATGACCCTGATGGGATGGGATGGGGGCTCCCACAGGAAGGGGCTGGCCTGAACACGGGCCTCATGGAGTGTGTCTGAGAGGTATGTGGAGCGAGGGCCTGGACAGATGCATATGGAGAGGACAGGAGGCAATGGGATCAGCCTGAGCAGGGCCTGAGGGCACCAACCCCAATGCTGAGTGATAGATGAAGTGCCTCAGAACCTGGGGGGAGCTGTACCCTCAAAGCCATGGACAGAAAGATTAATAGGACAAAGAAAAAAGCCTGTGAGATTTAGCTGAGCAGAGGTTATGGATACCTTGGGGAGAACTGTCTCAAGTGGAGTTGTTCGGGAGAAGCAAAAGAATTCCAATATTAATTTGAGTAGGAGAAATCAGTGGATCGAATTTTAAGTCAGCACTGGGCATGGGGGAGGGGGTGGATAGACTTTTGTGGGGAGGATTTAGATCCTAGGAAAAGAGGTAAATGAAGGTCATCTGGGATGAACCCTCTGCCTCCTAGTTTGCCCTGGGACACTCCCTATCACATGCAGGCCCGAGCTGTTCCCAAAAGGCGTTAATGAGAGTACCTGGCAGGTGTTTATACATCCAGACCCTAAACATACTTAAGGATGTCTTTTGGCCATTTCTGTGGTCATTGCCATTCTTAAAAGAGTTGCTTTAAATAAGTTAAACGTCTGTTCTGCACTGATATCCTAGAATAGTTAAGTTGCAATTAGCACCTGCAGGTGCATCTCATTTGTACACATTTTCTTATCTGAATCATAAAAACACAGCATCAGAAAATAATGATCTGTTCTTCAGGCGTCAGTAACTAACATTAAGGCCCTGAAAAAAAAAAAAAAAAGCATATTAGAAATAGCTTTTATGAGAAAGCATAGATAAGGAAGCATCCTCAAAATAAAAACTAGATACCTGAGAAAACCGGACTGGTTCAAGATAGTATGGAAGGGAAAAGTCAGCTCAATGCTCTGGACTGGAGCATCTGGTGGGATGTTGCATTTGAGTTCAGAAAAATCACAGATCATTATTTAGGAGAAAAACCATGGGCGGGGATTCTCCCCGTGAACACTGGTATAGCACAGAATTCGTCAGAAGTAGAAATGAGACAACAAATGGTTGTTTTTAGTCTCTGGGAACTAATGTTTTAACAGTGCCTGCCTAGAGGACACAGAAATTAATACTAAATATAAACAGGCTGGTAACTACTTCTTTGTATTTTGCAAGTAGTCTTCTTTTCAAATTTTATTAGGAACAGAATTTCCTCATTGACTCCATGATAATTTCCAGAGTCCTCAAAAGCCATGACTGAAGTATGAGTATGTTATACAAGTGATTGTTTTTAGCTATGAAAAGTAAAACATGCTCATTGCAGCAACAGCCTTAAAGACTAGTACAGTGTTGTGCAAACAAGTTAAAGGCCCCCACCCCAAGGCATCCCTGTTACTCCTTTAGCCCATGCATTTTGTTTCATTTCAGGCTTTCATGTGCACTCAAACATACACATTAATTTATCTAGCTGTGCGCTGGTCGTTTTCAAAACTGTAATTGAAAGTCACTCTGTAACACTGATGTTTTTGGTAACACCTTTATTAAGATACCCTCCACTTTATCAGCCATTACTACAGTCAATGTTAGGATACTGACATCTGTATTAGTCCATTCTCCGCTGCCAATAAAAGACATACCCGAGACTGGGTAATTTTTAAAGACTCACAGTTTGACATGGCTGGGGAGGCCTCACAATGCTGGTGGAAGGCAAAGGAGGAGCAAAGCCACATCTTACAGGGCGGCAGGCAAGAGAGCGTGTGCAGGGGAACTGCCCTTTATAAAACCATCAGGTCTGGTGAGACTTACTCTCTATCACAAGAACAGCATGGAAAAGACCTGCCCCCATGGTTCAGTTACCTCCCACGGCACATGGGAATTATGGGAACTACAGTTCCAGATTTGGCGGGGGACACAGCCAAAACATCAGCATCACCTCAGGAAACAATACAAAAACAAAAACAAAAACAAAAACAACTCTGCCCTTCAGCTACCATTCCCAGCCCTAAGCAACCCCTGATTGACTTTCTGTCTCTGTGTTTCCCTGTTCTGGACGGGTAATATAAGAAGAATCTATGGCATTTGTTGTCTTGTGACTGGCTTCTTACCCTTTGCATGATGTCCTTACGACTCCATGTTGTAGAATAAATCAGAGCTTCATTCAAGATTGAATAATATCCTACTCTCTGTATCCACGTTTTGTTTATCCATTCATCAGTTGATTGACATTTAGTTTGTCTGATAAAAGTTTGTGGCTTTTACAAATAATGCTGCCTTGAACATGTTCGAGTTTGTGTGTAGATGCATGTTTTCATTTCTCTTGGTTATAAACCTAGGAGTAGAATGACTGAGTCATATGGTGGATTCTGTTTAACTTTTTGAGGAATTGCCAGATTGTTCTGCAAAGTGGCTGCGCCATTTCACATTCCCCCAGCAGTGTGAGGTCTCTCGATTTGCCAGCCCTCCCCAATGCTGCTCATTATTTCACTTTTTGATTAAAGCCATTCTAGTGGGCATGAAGTGGGTCTCATTCCATTTCCCTGATGACTGGATTCTGAGCATCTTTTCATGAGGTTATCATCCATTTCTGTGACTTCTTTAGATAAATGTCTTTGCAAGTCCTTTGCCCAGTTTTTTAAATTGGGTTATTTGTCTTTTTATTATTGAGTTTTAAGTGTTCTTTATGTATTCTAGATATAAGTCCATTATCAAATATGTGTGTAGCTTATTTTAATTTAATATATTATGGACATTATTCTGGATTGGAATATTTAAGTCTGTTTAACAGCTGCTTGGTATTCCATTATACAGGCGTAGCATAATTGATTTGTCACTCATTGATTTAATCCAAGTGAGTTTAATTTCAAATAATTGTTTTATGTACTACACTGCCTTTGAAAAATAATTTCAGATAGAACTGGAGGCCATTATTCTAAGTAAAATAACTTAGGAATGGAAAACCAAATACCTTATGTTCTCACTTATAAGTAGGAGCTAAGCCATGGGTACACAAAGGCATTCAGAGCGGTAGAATACACAGTAGCGACTCAGAAGAGGGAAGGGTAGGAGGGTGAGGGATGAAACACTACATGGCGGGTCAGTGCTTGCTTCTGCAGTGATGGGAGCACGAAAATCCCACACTTCAGCACTGTACAGTTCATCCATGTAACCAAAACCCACCTGTACTGCTAAAGCTATTGAAGTTAAAAAAAATTAAAAACTAAAATAAAATGAAAAAGTTTTACACCTAATATTATGCTTTGAAAGTCATCTTATGCTGATTCTGAATGGGGTTTTGTTTGTTTAGTTTTGTAGACATTTGATCCTTTCAGAAAAAGGTCATATTGAATGGAAGTTGATGTACTTTGCACTTCAGAAACATTACCCAGCGAAGGAGCAGTACGGAGACACGCTGCATTTCTGTCGGCACTGCAGCATTCTCTTTTGGAAGGTACTGATTTAAATACACTTGGAATTTCAGGATTAAAATTTGGTGAAACAAACTAATCACTTATATTCTAAGTGTAAAACTAAAAAGTGGAAAGTACTGTTACAAGTAAGTTAAGGAGCTATATTTTACCAAATATTGGGGTAGGGGAATAGATGTTCATTCAACTTGGGCTTAAACCAGAAATGCTGCAAACCGAAACGCTTCTCCTTTTTGCAGAAGTTAGCATGTAGGAGGGCATTGCAGGTGGACTGCAGCCACTGGCTTTTCCTGGCAGCAGCTCCAGGTTCCCTGCTGACCCCCAGCCTGAGGTTGAAGGCTGCAGTGTGACCCCTCTGCCCATCTGAGGACAAGTGCACCTTCCTCGTTTCCCCAGACTTAGCCCTCGGCCCTTTATGTCCCCACCATCTGTGTAGGGCCAGGACCAGCTTAGGCTTCATTTCTCAAAGCCATATTCTTAGAGAAAAAGCATCCATAGAGAAGTCCCAGATTTTAAAATCTGCATTTTTCTCATTCATATGATCAGAACTTAACAAGACTATTGTTACTTATCTGCAAGTTTCTTCCCTTCATCCAGTTACTTCCTGTTCTCACCATCCAGACTGTATGTCTGAAAAGAATGTTTTTCACAGTCAGAGATAACTGCTTATTTCTTTTTTTTTTTTTTCTTTTTTCTTTTTTCTTTTTTGAGTTAGGGTCTCGCTCTGTCACCCAGGCTGGAGTGCAGTGGTATCACCACAGCCCACTGCAGCCTCTACCTCCTGCCTCTCCAGTAACTGGGACTACAGGCAGGTGCTACCATGACCAACTAATTCACTTCTTTTTTTTGTTTTTTTGGAGCAGTGTCTTGCTGTGACACCCACGCAGTTCTGGGTGCAGTGACACAGTTATGGCTCACTTTAGCCCCAACTTCCGGGCTCAAGTGATCCTCCCACCTCAGCCTCCTAAGTAGCTGCGACCACAGGGTGAGCCACCATGCCCAGCTGATTTTTTTGTTGTTGTTGTCTGTTTTGTTTTTTTTGTTAGAGACGGGGTTTCACCGTGTTACCCATGGCTGGTCTCAAAACTCCCAAGCTCAAGCAATCTGTCTGCCCCAGCTTTCCAAAGTGCTGGGATTACAGGCATGAGCCATGGCACCCAGCTAGTATCCACTTCTTTCTTAACATGTTAATATTATTTCACCCTGGAGTATGTTTCCATGGTCTGCCTTGCATTTGAACATGTTTGATGTTGTGAGATTTCACCATGGGGGAAAAAAAGTGTTGAAACTAGGCAGAAGCTGGCCCTGGAGTGACCCTGCTGAGCTGCTGGCTGCTCTGCGGAGGGAACCCCCTGACTGTCCCTGGTCTAGATGAGGCCCTGCCTCTTGCAGGAGTGGGCTGTCTCTGCCTCTTGCCTCCTCTAGGTCTAGGGAGATGAGGCTTTTGCCTGATAGACACCGTAACCTGTTGTGATTTTACCTTTGCTTTACATTTATCTAAATTTGTTATCAGATAGGTCATAAGGCAAGCTCTAGGCTGTTGGAAAGAGACAACTGCTTTTCATTTCAAATTACATTTATTCTAAGTGTGGCTTTAAAAATTAATCCATGATTGAGCAAAGAATGTAAAGATGTGTTTTTCTTGTATTATTTTAATAGTTTTGTTTGGTATGTCAAAGGTAAACAGCATCATACATGAATATGAGATTTTATTTCTGATTTTTAATATTTTGGTATGACTTCTGTCTTTCCTGAAATTAAAAAGATGCAAGTTGTGTTATGTGTTTCTGCAGTAGTACAACTGTCTTGTAGAATATTATCCCTCAAGAGCAGGGAACATCTTGATTCCAGTTTATTCTCAACTTGGTGAGGTCAACGAATCAGTTCATCAGTAAGATTAGGTTATACAGGAGAGAGCCCTCATTCTATTACTTTCTCCCCGGTTATATGGCACAAAAAGCACAATATGGGGGTGAGCTGTCTGCAGTAGAAGCCACAGGCAGATGCTTGTGGACTGAAGGAAAGGGGTCAACTGAGTGAAGTCCAGGTTCTCACCCAGCTTTGACACCTGACCCTGGAGGCAACAGGGCCCCCCTTCTGTGTAGTTCCTTCTAGGACTGACACCTGTTCTTCTCTGAAATATTAACACTGAAAACATGTGGCTGTGTCTTCAGTCACAGAGTAAGAGTGGACACAATACTGTAATTTCTAAGTTGAGTCAGTGCTTCTCCTAAGAGTTACTTTTCTGAGCAGATTGTTTTGTGCTATAGAACTATTAAAAGCAACGATATTTTTATGGGGAAATACCATTCATAGAAGAGGTAGAAGGCTTTCAGTTTTGTATGTGATAGTGTTTTTCTTAGAACAACATTTATGAATATTGGAGCTCTCCCCATCTGCTAAGCAACTAACAAAGAAAAACACTCCTTCGCTTCTGCATTGTTGGGCCGTACAGATCAATCTCCCTTACCTGAAATGCCTGGGACCTGAAGTGTTTCAGGTTTCAGATTTTTTTCATCTGTTTCATTTACACAGAGCTTGAAGATAATTTCATACAATGTTTTAGTAATTTTGTGTACTTGTTAATGTGCAGTTTTCCACTGTGGCATCATGTCAGTGCTCGAAAGTTTTGGATTTTGGAGCATCTCAGATTTTTGGATTACAGGTGCTCCATGTGTATAAGAATGTGCTGCCTTAGTTTCCTGAAATATGTAAGTTCTGATTTTTTAAAATTGAGAGATGATGTAGCTTTCCAAAAGAATTTGCTTTGCCATTCTTGTATCTAGTGAACCTTATCATACTTGATCAAGTCATGAAAATTGAGAACAAGTCTCTCCTAGCAAAGACAGCTGCCCATCTCTTAGTTCTGCGAGGTTCATGTCTTGCCCTGGAGGCTGTGATGTCCACTTCACTGCAGCTACAGTGAGTGGCCCCATCACAGCTTCTCCCACTGAGTATCAGTCTACAGGGCAGTCCACGTTTTTAGTTCTGAATGCATGCATGGAAGTATTCAAAAAGAGCCATCCCTCCTAATTTAACCCCCGAAGGTGTCAGGTACTTCTTGCCCTGTCTCCCATCGGCTCCATCAGTGTGGCTAACCGGAGGTGAGTGGCCTGGTAGGCCAAACCCAGATTGGAGTCAGGCAGACCTGGACCTGCCTCCAGGGTCTCCTGAGCTTGCTGCCCTCCTAGGGCCTTGGTTTGATGCCATGACCTATCACACAGAGGAGCTGTGAATGTCCAACAGTCCTGCACCTGGAAACCTGGCACATAGCTGGTACTCAGAAAATGGCACTTAGGGTTAGGGTTACTGCTCGTTTTTTGTTTGTTTAGCATCCCAGGAGTTTGTGTTGACTGAGAAACTCAAGTAATATCAAAGCTAGTAAGAAGATGAGACTGGGTGTTGGTGACTGTAAATTCTTGCCTGGCCCTGGGACTTGGTCATAAACCGACACCACGGTGCATCTGTCTCAGATCGGCCTCTGGTGTTTGATCATTTTCCACAGTACATAGGCCTGGAGCTCTCCAGTCAGCAGTGCTGTGGAGCTGCTTCATCTGCTCCCAATCTGGTTTCCCATCTCTTCTGGCTCTACTATATTGGAGTTCTTCTTTAACTTTTCTACCTGCCTTAGCCTTTCACACAGTCCGTAAGTAAGTGGGCTGAGTTCAGCTCTGGAGCCAAAGACTGACTTCGATGGCCCTGGGAGGGTACACTGGTGCACCCTGCACTCAGGGTCACTGAGAGGGGTGGCGTTATCTCCTGGCTGTACAAAACCTCAGTTAAAAACTGTAGACTTGTTGGCTGGGTCAGGGAAGCCAGGATGAGCCGTTTGGCATTTTTATGTCCTGTTTTTTCTTGGTGTGTCAGTTGCCAGAATAGAGGTCTGGACACCTGACATTCACCCCACAGTCCTGTGTGGACATCAGGAGCAAAGTTGGAGCCAGAATCTAAGACGAGGTCTCCATGGTCTGGTGGTCCTGGTCTTGCGGGGAACCGCTTCGCTGGCGCGGCCTGAACCAGCGGGGGAGGACAGCACAGGAGGGCAGCAGCTGAGGCTTGGGTTTGTGTTGGAAAGTGACGTCCACTGGTCTGAAGAAGCAAGTGTCAGAGGTGGGGGCTGGCTTAAAGTGTGGAATTGACTTAATGTGCCTTATTTAGCACAGAGCAGACCCTTTGGACATTAAATAACAGAACTTTCCCCCAAAAAACTTACAAAATTTTAATATAAACTGCACATGGAAATAGCATCTCTTTTTCACTGAATAATTTTGAAGGTTATTTAGCACGGCAGCCTCGTTAGTTGCCAATTTGAAAGACTTAAAGGTAAAGATATGTTGTCTTAAGACTGTCTTCAAGTAGTTTGGGAATTTGGGTTATCTGATGATGCCTTGTTTGCTTGCTTTAAATAACCTTGTACTGTCCAAATTTAGTTACCTGATGTCTTTAGTTATTTTCGTTAATAATATGAATCAAACCTGAATGCTTCCAGTCTGGCTCTTTCTAATCTTTTCCTTTTCTTCCCTCCCTCCACTGCATTCCTTCCTGATTCTTCCTTCATGATCTCAAAGGACTACCACCTTGCCTTACTATTCAAGGTACTTCCCTGTCTTGCCACACACCCCGTGTTCGGGATGAAAACGCTGCATTGTGCTGCGTCTCGTGCCCGTCATCCTGGTCACTGCCCAGCTCGATTCCAGCTCTCGCTGACTTGAGCTTTCTCAGGACCCTGAGCAGGGCTGAGTGGCCACTTTGATCACCTCAGCAAGGACGAGAGTGTTCATGAAGTATTTCGCAGAACGACACCTGAGTGCTCAGGGAGGATGCCAGACGTGCCCATAAACACTTCACCACACAGCACCTGGGTTGGCAGCACTGCCAGGGCATGCCATGGAGAGACCCAGCACTGACCCCAAGGCCTCTGGTCCCGTCTACCTACGTTCCTCCTAAGATTCTGCCAGCCTTCATCCACAAAATTAATTTTTCTTTCGTCGCTTCTCATATTAAATAAAATTCTGGATCCTTAGGTATGTGAGCATGGCCAGCTCCCTTGGAGCAAGCAGGAGCCTCAGGGGCTGAGGCCATGTGTCCCCACGCTCCTGCCCTGTGCAGGGAGCCCAGGCTGATTGAGGGATGAATGGTGGGTGGAGGGAACCCTGTGCGCCAAAGTGCACCAGGAACAGGACGGGACAAAGGAATGGCTGGGACCAGAGCACAGAAAGTCCCCAGTGGTTTCTTCTGTGGCCTTGTGGATTCCCGGGCAGTGCAGGGTGGCGTCAGCAGCTGGCTCCTCTGACTCAATACCAGATTCGGCACTGGAGGGCTGACCTGGGGCCACCGACTCCTGCCCTACCTGAGCAGGAGTTCCATGGAAAACCTCTGCGTAGAATCGGCTGCGGCTGCCCTTGTGTTGATCATTCTCATCCAAGTTCTCTCTCATGTACCTCTGAGGTGGGGCCCAGGGTCCATGTCAACAAGCAGCTGACGACCCCCCAACCACTATCACTAGAGTGTGGCTGGTGGTGGGCCCCCTCCTAACCATCTCCCACCTCCCCACAGGACTCAGGACACCCCTGCACGGCGGCCGACCCCGACAGCTGCTTCACGCCTGTGTCTCCGCAGCACTTCATCGACCTCTTCAAGTTTTAAGAGTTTCCCCTGCCATCCCTGTTGGAGATTGTGCATCATGCTGTCTGTGCAGGGCTCATAGTGAGTGTTCTGTGAGGTGGGTGGAGGCTCCTGGGAGGCCCCTGCTTCCAGAAAGCCTGGGAAGAACTGCCCTTCTGCACAGGGGGTGCGTAGTTGCATTTTCATCATTGAAGGTCAGAGGCCAAGGAAATCATTTCTACTTTAAAAACTCTTCTTCTAAGCATATTAAAATGTGAAATTTTGCACATTATATATATATAGTTAAAAAATGTTTCAGGTGGTCAGCTCCACATTCTTTGTTAACCTGACACTAACAGCCAATAACATGCTTCTTAACTGTCAAATTACAGTTTCCCAATTTTATACTAATTGGGGGTGGGTGACAAAACAGTTGATCCTTGTAAATACATTGTACAGAATATTTATTTTTTCTCAAAATGCATTTTAACTACTACATTGGCTGTGACCAGATGAGTCCTCTTTGAACAGAAAGTGAACCCAGGGCAATGATAGCCATTCTTGTCTTAGGGCTTACGGATCGGGGTATGAATTGTGCACACACAGCCCAACAACGGGCAGTGGTCTCTGTGGTCCTGAGGCATCCAGCACAGGTTCTGGCAAGGGTACCCCTGCTCGGGGTGTGGGCTGGTCTGTGCGTAATCCCGGCATCCAGCACAGGTTCTGGCAAGGGTACCCCTGCTCGGGGTGTGGGCTGGTCTGTGCGTAATCCCGGACTGTGATGGCAACAGCCCAGTGCAGTCTGAACTTCAGTTGTGTTGAAACTACTTTAATAGACAAAGTAATAAATGATGTTTATCTATTGATGTAAACTTCATCAGTTTTGCATCCTACTGAGAAATGTTAGTGATTTTGATATTTAAATCCTTAAAAGATTGCTTTGTTTTTAAAATAACGCATGTCCATTTTAGAAAATTAGAAAATCAGTCCCACCACCCAAAGATTATTGTGCATGCTGAAAAGAATATGAAAAATCCCCTCAGCAGGCATAGGATAGAAATGCATTGTTGTATATTTCCATTTTCGAATAGGGTCAAGGAACCTAAGCAAATCATTTCTACTTTTTTTTTCCTCTAAGCATAATAAAATTATACTTTTATAGCTTTTATAAATAGGACTAAAAAAAGATTCTGGATTTTTCAGCCCCACTTCTGTGAACTGACACAAATGGCCAAGAATGCATTTATTTGTCAAATTATAGTTTCTCCTGAGGCGATGCAAATACCTGGGGCCTCCATGAATATATGTTAGTTTTTCATAAAACCATAAATGTCCTGTATCCCACTGTTATTTCACAACCCCTCCACCCCACCTTTTTTAGAAACAACCATATCCTAAATGTTATTTGGAAACTTGGTTTTTATTAGCTCCGTAGAATCACCCAGATGGAACAGACTTTATCATCACAGCATCCTGGGGTTCCCGAGTGTCTCGCTGTTAGCATCAATAACTGTGATTAGCATCATCACACATTAACAATGTGGCCGTCTCCTTACAATAAACCAGTAGTCAACATCATGAGTCAAACATCATGAGTCAAACATATTTTTTAAGGCTTTTAAATATATTTCTAGATTGTTTATGAAAAAAATTTTTTTGGAGTTTTTGAGACAGGGTCTTGCTCTGTCATCCAGGCTGGAGTGCAGTGGTATGATCTCGGCTCACTGCAACCTCTGTCCCCCAGGCTCAAGTGATCCTCCCACCTCAGCCTCCCAAGTAGTCAGGACCACAGACATGTACCACCATGCTCAGCTGTTTTTTTGTATTTTTAGTAGAGATGGGGTTTCACCATGTTGCCCAGGCTGGTATCAAACTCCTGAGCTCAAGCAATCCACCTGCCTCAGCTTCCCAAAGTACTGGGATTACAGGCATGAGCCACCGCGTCCAGCTGAAAAAAGAAATTGTTTTAATCTAGGAAAGGGAGTAAGTACATGGAGTTTCCATTATCCCTGAAGCACAGGTATTTCTTTTTCTGTTGGTGCTGTTTTAGTAAGTGAAGAATTTGATGTATGGTAAATTGTGAGCTTGAATATTTCCATATATTGTCCATTTGCTTTTCTTGTTTTTGGTAAATTACTTAATGTGTTATTTGCCTGTTTCTTGTGGGGGGGGGGGGGTGTTTATTTTTTTTTCATATTAGTTTGTTCTTAAAAGGAAACTATCGTTTTGAAGTTGTGGTTCTTTCCCCTAATTTGTCATATACTGTTATTGTCATTTAATTGTTAGACATTATAACAGTTCTCAGCTGTGCTATCGAATCACAGATACGTGCATTTAACTTGTATAAATTGCGCAGTACTTGCCTGGAAAACAACCATATTAATAGTGTAGGATTCCAGCTGTTCTGCTGGGCTGGCATATTTCCACAGGCCATGGACACAGCTAGCCGCACTGCCAGTGCATGAGTCACAGCCTTCTGCAGGTGCGTTCGAGGAACAAGTTGTGGGAGCTGGGCAGGTAAGCAGGGATGGTTTACATTGCTGGAGAGAGATTGAAAGGTTAATGGAGGGTATAAAGACAGAATAAAGACAATTTTGAGGCACTTACAGAAGATCAGACACCACCAAACAGAGATGAGAAGAGGAATCATAAATCTCCACATTGGAATGGTATTTCTGAATACAGTTTCTCTCACGGGGCCTTCTAAAAGTAGAGATGCCACTCCTGTGAGATTAAATTACATTCTGATGCCTTCATTGCAATGAAGTCGATAATTTAGGACAACAAGAGCCTAAAGCCAGGCAGTAAGTTTCACTCACCCATCGTTCCTGCAAAAGGCAATGCCAGACACTCTCAAGATAGAATCTCCAGTCATTCTCGGACCTGTTCCCAGTCTGCGCTGCTCACTCAGGGCTGGTGTCTGTTGACACCCAGTTACAACTTCCTTTTGCCTATTTTGAGAGTCAGAAAGTCACATTCCTCACCTAATTGATGAATACACACAAATTGGAAAGGCATGCAGTAGCCTCTCAGGAGCAGACCAAGTTGTAGCTGTCATGGTTTACTGCGTGATGTACAGGATCTCTGTATGCACTGTGTGTGTGTACTGTACAGGGCTGTACACAGCAAACTGTGTCTACTTTATGAAAAAAAATTAATGATCTGTGAACAATTTTTGCCTTAAATGCTGCTTTTAGAACCAAACTGTCATATAAGATTTATCAGTTCTGTTAACACCTTTGTAGATTCCTGATGCTATGTACAAAATCATGTCATCTGTGAATAGACAGTTTCACTTCTTCCTTTCAGCCTAGATGTCCTTTATTCTTCTTTCTTGCCCCACTTCACTGGTTAGAATCTCTAGTACAATACTGAATAGCAGTGCAAGGGTAAACATCCTTGTCTTGTTCCTCATCTTAGGGGAAAGCTTTTCAGTCTCACCATTAACTATGATGTTAACCCTGGGTTTTCCATAGATACCCTCTATCAGGTTGGGGAAGTTCCCTTCTATTCCTAGTTTGTTTTTATCATGAAAGGGTGTGATGGATTTTGTCAAATGCTTTTTCTGCATCTCTTAAGAAGATAATGTGGTTTTTAGCCTTCATAAGATCAATGTGCTGTTTATTACATTGACTGATTTCTGTATCTTGAACCAACCTTGCATTCTTGGGCCAAAGCCCACTAAGTCATGGTTTGTGATACCGTTTATACATAGCTGTTGGATTTGGTGTGTTGGAACAGCCAGCCCTCTGTATCCACAGGGGATGGGTTCCAAGACCCCCCCACCCCACCTGCCACCCACTGCCTTGTGATCTCTTGGGTTTTGGTGTCTATCTCATAGGATAAGCTTAGAAAGTGTTCCCTCTTCTGTGTTTTGGAAGTGTTTGTGGTGGTTTCTTGTTAACTCTTCTTTAAATGTTGGAGAGAACGCCACATAAGATTTGAAGTCACTGAGAAGCTTCAATTATCTCCCCTTTTGGAAATTCATTTGTCTTATTATCCTTTAAGAGGATAGGACCATTTTCTCTAGCAATGCCTTGTAATGGTTTTTCTTTTCATTGCGAAGGCCTAACCTAGTAGATAAATGGACTATGAAACCTAGTCTGTTCTGCTTATCTTCAGAATTATCAAAAGGAAAGGGTGCTGCCCTCTGAAAAAAGTCAGAAGTGAGCTTGGCTTATGAAACTTGACTTTTTAATCTGCCTCTCTTCATTATGATGTGTGCACGTGATGGACACCACTCACCTCCCTTTAGTCCCTATCTAGTGCAATATCGAATGCTACCCAATGACAAAGCCAAGGGATTAGCAACAGGTAGGAGGAAAAATAAGGACCTGCATACATGACTAACCAGCACCAGCCATTGGGGCCTTCTGATGGCTGACACCAGCATCCACCCTGCTCTCAACCTCCCTGCACCCATGTCTATCTCAACAGAATTGCTGCTTTTGTCTTCACTCAAGCCCCACTCCTTGTCCCTACCTGTTGTTTCTGCATAGAGGAAGCAGACTCTCAACTTTGGAAAGCAGTGTCCCCCTGCATCCCATGGGCTAAATGCCACTGAGCTGGTAGGAGCTGCTCAGGTGTAGCCTCTGCCTCCAGAATTCCAGCAGGAACTGCATCACTGTGTGCCTAAAAAGCCCTGGCTCACAGCGTGAGACAGTGTGTTCTAGGTGGTAACGTGGCACCTACACACGCACCCCCAGCAGTCCTCTCTAAACTCAGGCAGTGCATGGCTGCTGCCATTCCCACCCTCAGCATCTGTGAGATGAAGGAGTCACTCCCCAGGGCATCTGCCCCAATACAGGCCACGTGGATCTGCCATTGCTTTTCAAGCAAATGCCTAGGAGAGGCTGTTAACCCTCCTAGTTGTCCTTTTTGTACTTGGTCCTCTCCCTTCCAGTCCTCACTGGCTCAAGTCCACAGAGTGACAAAGAACAGAGATGCCCAGAGCACGAGCTGGAGGGACAAGCGCGAGAAGGCCCTGCTGGTGCCACAGGGGTCTTGGACCGTAACCAGGGTTCGCTGAGGATAGGGTTCCTTTGAAATGCTCTTGTTCTTCCTGTTTAAGGGAGAGCAAAAAAAATGAGGGCATCTGTGTCAAATAGGAGAGACACCTCAACTGTCTCGTTTTTGTGTGGAAATTTCATTTTTATTTGATAATCATTTGAGAAAGTTGCACAGATGAAGGCAAGTTGGCTTTTATATCTACCTATGTAGTCAATTCTAATGTCATTTAAAAGAATTTGATGTGTTAAAATACACATGAAATTTACCATCTTATCCATTTTAAGTATGCAATTTAGTAGCATTAAATACATTCATACCGTGCAGCCTTCTCTACCATGTATCCACAAGTTCAAGTTTACAAGATGAACTTCTGTCATCTTGTAAAACTGCAGCTCTGTACCCATTAAGCACCAACTCCCTATTCCCCATCCACCAGCCCGACAGCCTCTGTTCTACTTTGTCTCTTTGAATTTGACTACTGTAAGGACCTCGTATGAGTGGAATCCGAAGAGATTTGTCCTTTTGTGACTGTCTTATTTCACTTAGCATGATGTCCTCAAGGTCCATCCAAGTTATGGCATGTGTTGTGATTTCTTTTTAAGGCTGATACTCTGTTCTATGGGTGGACCACATTTTGTTTGTGCGCTCATCTGTTGATGGACACTTAAGTTGCTTCCACATTTTAGCTATTGTGAATACTGCTGCTGTAAACATGGGTGTGCAAATATCTGAGCCTCTGCTTTCAATCATATGGCAATTCTGTGTTTAATTTCTTAAACTGCCATAACTGATTTCCATGGTGGCTGCACCATTTTACATTCCTACTGAAGGGTCCAATTTCGCACATCCTTGCCAACACCTGTTCTTAATCATTGTCATTCTAATGAGTGTGAAGTGGTATCCTGCTGTGATCTTGATTTGCATTTCCCTAATGACTAGCGATGCTGAGTATCTTTTTGTTTGTTGGCCTATGTCTTCTTTGGAGAAATGTCTATTTGGGCTCTTTGTCCTTTTTTCAATCAGGTGTGTATTTTTGTTAAGTTGTAAGAAGTCTTTATATGTTCTGGGTATTCACCCTTTTCAAATATATCATTTGCAAATACTTTCTCCCATTCCGTGGATTGCCTTTCACTCTGTTTTCTTCTTTGATGCACGGAAGTTGTTTCTGTCTTTCTTTTAGTTACCTGTGCCTCTGGTGTCATATCTAAGAAATCACTGCCAAATCCAATGTTGTTAAAATTTTCCCTTATGTTTCTCCTAAATGTTTTAGTTTTAGCTCTTAGTTAAGGCCTTTTGTCCATTTTAATTTTTATATGTGGTGTGAGGTAGATCTAGCTTCATGTGAATGTCTACTTGTTTAGCACCATTTGTTGAAAAGACTGTCCCTTCTCCCTTGAATGGTCTTGGCACCATCAAAAATCATTTGACCCATATGTGCAAGGGTTTATTTAGGGATTTGCTATTCTATTCCATTGGTCTATATGACTCTTTGTTTCAGTACAACACCATTTTGATTATTGTAGCTTTGTCATAAGTTATGAAATAAGGAAGTGAGAGACCTCCTACTTTGTTCCCTT